TGTCCTGCAGGCCTTCGCTGAATTCATCCGAAATGTATTGGAAGCCTTGGCCCAGAGCAAANAGATCCCAACCTCCAATCTCAGTAGACGATGATTTCGCGGCGGATATGAGCAAGTGAAGAATGCTGGCCGCAATCTGCTTGCGTGTTTCTGCGTCTCCCTGGGATATTCTCAATACTGCTAGATGGCCATTGCTCATGTGCAGCGTCTCGTCGTCCTTCAGTAGCGATTTTCCTTGGGCCTTTTTCAGACGCTGTAGCATGACTTTTTGCCACTCGAGAGGACATTGCAAAGGTGTTTTGACAAATGTGTTCTTGCGAGACAGAGATGGGAGCATTGCGCAAAGTGCCATCTCGTTCTCTTTCCAGTGGTTCACGATGAACTTTTGGAAGATAGGCAGAACAAAGCTTTGGAAACGCTCCTGGTTAAGCTCTGCGAAAATGTTACAGAAAGGTAAAAAGTGGCCAATCCACTTGCCTCGGCTGATGGTGTCGAGAATAGCAAGCTCCTGAAGAACTGCATCGAAAGGCCCATAATTAAGTACCACGGCCAGCGTGTTGAGAAGTGCAGTCAATGTATCCGAGTCAATATCCTTGGTTGCTTTGTCGGCTTTCTTGATCATGGTCGTCACGCGCTTGACATAGGTCGGCCAGTCCGAGATTCTGCTTCCTTTACGGACAGATGCGGCAGTGAAAAGGAGAGTGTTCGCTGCATCCAGGTTCTCGACTGCGTCGTTGTCGTTCGGGTCGGTAAACTCGAAGATAGCCTCTTGGACGGATTCGAAGGTTTCCGGGGTGGTATGATGTACGACACTGATCAAGGAACCTCTCAAAATCTGAAGGGACCTGCCCTTGAGAAATTCTGAGTGGTTAGCATTGAAGCAGAACCTGGTCAAGCATTGCAAGACAGTGTTTCCTCCTGAATGGAGGGTTCCTTGTACACCCTTGATAGATTCTGTGAACAGAGTCATCAGACCCTGCGAATACAAATCGTCCGAAGCAGTCTCGTTCGAGGCAAAGTCGTTGAGCATGTGCTCGACGATTGTTTCCAACGGTTCCTTGCTCTTGTGATATGTAGTTCCCGCTTTTCTGACCAAGAAGCTCATTGCTTCTGCAGCAAATCGAATGACATAGGGCTTTTGCTTTTGCTTTCCTAGATACGGCGATAGGAGGTCGTACAAAGGTCTGAGATCGGGGACTAATAGGCGCGAGAGATACTTGAAGAGCCAGGCTAGGCAGGTGAAGGCCCACTCGACAACCTCTGGCTCTGCGTTACTGGCTGCGACGTGCGCGACGGTTGCGACGGCTCTCTGGAAGTGCTTCTCGAATCGGACGTCGAGGTCGTGTGCGAAATGCGACATGAGGGCGAGCAGGGGTTCGAGCGACATGACATCTCCCTTGGTGATGTAGGTAACCAGGTTGTCCATGATGGCCTCCTCGTGGAAGATGACCATGGGCAGACTGTCGGAGATGTTGTAGACGTGTTTGGCGAAGGTCGAGAAGTTCTCGGACAGGTTGAGGTCCTTCCATTCGTCCAGGGCAGTCCGGAAGTATGAAGACTCTCCTTCCAGTTCATGGGCACCCTCTGCTCCTACTCCGCGACGAGTGCGACGGATGGGATCGATCTTCATCTTTGAAATCCTCTGGGCGAACCCTTCGAAGTGGTGTCGTCGACTTGAGGGTGTCGATTTTGTCTTTCTTTGTGTTTTGACGACCTTGGTGGCCGTCTTGGCCGACTTGGGCCCATTTGAGGCGGTATTCCTCGACATGCCCGCCATGTCGTGGTTATGAAATGCTATGGCAAAAAAGTTGGTGCAACTTTAGAACTTTCTTCGAAGATGCGCCAGTAACGCGCCAAGAGTGTGGGGAAGGTGGCTTGACTCTCGAGCACCAGCCACAGTCAGTGCCTGTCTCGACTCCGTCAAATCACGTCGAAGCACTTTTGCTTTCTCTTCCACTTCAATTCAATCCTCTTTGAAGAACAATGGTGTCGAAGATGTATGTGTCAACCAGATCTCATTTCGAAAGCCCAGCTAACAAACCATCAGTGCAGTCGTCGGCTCAGTCAATGGCCAAGTCTCTGCAGTCTTTGCCAAATTATCTGCATTGCATGCTAAAAATGCCTTTGCATTTGCTATCATCACCGGAGACTTATTTGCGGATCCAGTGAACCCCAGCCCGGAGGAGGCTAGCCAGCTCGAAGATCTGCTCGGAGGCAAGACTGAAATCGCTTTACCCGTCTACTTTGCTCTCGGCAACCGTGAGTTGCCTCTTAAGGTCCAGGAGAAACTAGGCGCCAACGCCGGCGAGCTATGCTCAAATCTCTACTTCCTTGGCCGGAGGACCACTGTCAAGACATCCGAAGGTGTCAAGATTGTCGCTCTAGGTGGTGCTCACGTGGACGCCGTTTCAGATAAAGCCTCGGTCACAGAGTTTAGCCCCAGTCACACCCCAGAGGATGTCAAAGTATTGCGAGGCGCGAACACGGCTGATATCTTGGTGACGAGTGAATGGCCTGCTGAGATTCGTACTGGCTCTAATGCGCCCTACACTGGTGAAGAAGCTGTTTCGCAACAGGGTGTTGCAGACCTCTGCACTGTTCTAAAGCCTCGTTACCACTTTTCTTTCTCGGACGGCTTCCTAGAGCGCGAGCCATTCTTCCACGCTCAAGGCGAAGATGACAGCGGCTACCAAGTAACTCGTTTCATCAGTTTGGCGCCTTACGGAAACGCTGCTAAGCAGAAGTGGATCTACGCATTTACACTTGATACTTCTGTGGCACCTACTGCGACTGTGCCGTCAGGCGTCACGGCGTCTCCATTGTCATTCGCGAAGAAGCGCAAGGCTGTGGAGTCCCAGGCGCACTCATTCTCGCGCTTCTCTGGCGGCAGCGGTGATGGTGGTCGGCAGAGGGGACGCAACAAGCGTGCTCGACCCAATCCGAACCCTTCAGAATGCTTCTTCTGTCTTTCAAATCCCAATATCGCGTCACATCTAATTTCCTCGATTGGCGACAGCGCGTACTTGACCACAGCCAAAGGTCCCCTTCCAACATCCAAGACTTTCTCGGCGCTAGGCTTTCCAGGCCACATGTTAATTATCCCGCTCGAACATTCACCGACTCTGGCTTCGATACAGGATCAAGACTCCAAGAAGGCTACCATTGCAGAAATGCATCGCTATCGACTTGCCTTGCAAAGCATGCTGAACAAGAGATCGGAAGATGCTGCTGAAGCAGATAAGCTCGGTGCGGTTACGTGGGAGATTAGCCGTATGGGCGGCATTCACATTCATTGGCAGTTCATGCCGGTTCCGCAAGACATTATCAAGAAGGGGTTGGTGGAAGCGGGTTTCAAGGTCGAAGCTGAGAACCAAAGCTATCCGGCTTTCGAGTCGTCAAGTGTCTCGACTGATGTAGCAGCCGAGGGTGATTGTTTCAAGGCTACCATATGGGATGGAACAGAGGAGAAGACTATAATCCTTCCTTTAGACTCGTCGTTCAGGTTCGATCTGCAGTTCGGACGAAGGGTTCTTGCCAAATTGCTTGGTCTGGAAGGTCGATCGCATTGGCAGGATTGTGATCAGAGCGAGACGGAGGAGAACACTGATGTCGAGGCCTTCAAAGCTGCGTTTGCTTCATTCGACTTCTCGCTCGAAGCGTAAAACCCCTCATAATATAGATATTGGACATGCAAATCTCGCTCAAAGCAGTTGGAGATGTTCCCCTTCTGGAGTCCAATCTGTTTATGACGTTTGAGTTACATGAGCGTGTTCATATGCAACACATTTGTGCGTTCTCATCATCCCGAGCACATGTTCACTTTGCATGCCCGATTGACAGACGCAGAGACCCATCACGTATCCGCATCGAGCCGCCAATGCAGCGATGTGCTCAACAAGCGCGATTAGTCAATCAAGGAACAAAGCAGCTACAATACTTGGACAACATGCAGGCCTTATCAATAATACAGTCAACCCATCGATAGAGGTACAGAGACGACGTTGAGGAAAAAGATTGCCTCGAACAGTCAACGAGGTACACGAGATACGAGATAACAGATAGACGTTTGCAGCCTTGTAGCAAGGTTCCGGTGACAGGTCCAGCACGCGCACCGATAGTATGCGGGACGATCGCCAAACTGCGACCAAGGTACACAGCACGTGTGGAGCCGGGAAGCGACCAGCAGGCGGCAGCACTTTACGCAAGGGCGGTCAGTGTGATGGTGGGTCGTTAGAGGCCGACCGACCGCATGACCCAGCGCGCATGGCTTCAGGCGGCGTTTGCATATCACACCGCACTGATCGCGGCTGCTGTGGACATGGTGGTCATTTGGGTCTGTTGTTGTTGTTGTCAATGACGAGTGTGATGAGAGGAGAGCCGGCGCAAAAACAACACAAACAACTCGAGCTGTCACCGATGAAAAGGACCTGTAAGCGACGGTCGATTGAGGGCTTCTGTAGACTACGAGTCAAAGCTGTGGAGAGATCGATGTACAAAAAAGCAAAAGAAGCAAATCGACGGGAGCACGGACGGCCTAATGGATTGAATCAAGGTCGTGGCGCACAGATCCGTGGGTGGAGGCAGTTGCAGTCGCAGGGTGGGCGTTCGCGCCTTCCGCTTCCTGCTCGCCTTCTCTGTTTCGCTCCTTCTCTCTCTTGTCACTCGCTCGAAATCGACTCGCCTTTCGCCTACCACTTCACTTCTCCTCAGCGACACTCACGTTTGCGCCTTGCTGTTTATTCTCCAATCCGACGCTAGATGGCCGATTGACCCGACACGCCTATCGCGTCCGCTCCCGCTTTGTTGTTGTTTCCGCACGCGCATCCGGCCCACAATCGCGACCGCTGCCGCAACTATCCTGCATCTCGAACGTTGCCAGCCTTAGACGTCAAACAACCACAACACTCGCTGCCCCTGACGCTCGCTCCCGACTCCTCGTTGCTATCGCGCATTGATTACGACTGTTTCGTTTGTTGTTTGGCTGCGCGCAATCAGACGCCATGGCTTCGCACAAGCCGAGCGTCTCGGTCACCCTCCCTCGCGACTTCAAGTTTTCCCACGACGACATTGAGACACCACAAACACCAGCAAGACCTTCCACCGCGGTGGACTCCTTCGATCTCGAAGCGCCTGCGCTTCCCAAGCAGACGTTCAAACTGCGACGTCGTCCACGCGACCAGCAAACTGGCGCAATGGACGAAGCCCCCATCCTGCCTAGTATCGAGATGACCGAAGCAAATGAGCCGGCTCACCACACTTCCACCTACTTCATGTCGACTCCGGGATATCTCGCGCCACGTGCTGGACACCTACGCCTCTCGTCACCACCAAAGACACCTGCATCGCAGGTAACATCCTACAACATCGAAACAACAGATGCCACTGAATGGTCCATGTTCCACCCTATTCACCTCACCGACATCATTCAACGACCTTCTTCGGCCCTCTCGACATTCTCCGACTCTTCCGCGACATCTCACGGAAGCAGCTTCGACTCCAAATCTTCCTTCGATGCTGGCAGCTGCACAAGTCCTGAAAGCGACATTGGTGATCCATTCGCCTTCTTCGAACGCAAGTCTGGAGCACCTGGATCAACCACTCCCTCCAGTGGATTCCCCAATGCCAAGCGCGTCAAGACGATGCGCCATCCTCACTTCAGTCCCGAGATGGACAACCATCTCTGGTTCACCTACATGAGCTACGTCCAGGATCCGAGGGTCACTCCGTTTAAGATGCTACCTGGCACCTCACCACCTCTGGGCGTTTGTCACCGTGTTGCACGAGAGGCAAAGGCAACTTGGAGATCAAACCGCTTGTCATGTGCTCCTCATGGCATTCCACGCATCTCTATTCAGTGTGCAGACTCGTCCGACCCCGTCAGTCCATCTGATGCCATGGACCAGTCCACTCCGACTGCCGCGTACTCGCACAATCCGGTCGCACTCAAGTGGCCGCGCTCGGAGGGTGCCACGCGTCGTCGTCTGCGTGACTTGTGCAAGCGCAAGCCTTCTCTCTCCGCTCACTACATGAGACTTTTGCGCACTCGCAGCCCCTCCCCCTTCGAGTCTTCCAGCAGCGTCAGTGCTAGTAGCAGTCCGAACCAGCCGCTTGCTCCTGTTGCTCAGCCCCCTACTCCTCAGCCTTCGTCGTTCTCCAGTCGCGATCTAAATGTGTCGCTGGCCGAGGCCACCGCTCCTTCGATGCAGCCAGATGGTCCGCTTGCTCAACTTCACAAGCGTACTCCCCAGGCCCCGATGGCTCCTCAGCAGCGTCGTGGCTCGGACTGGTATGCTCGCATCGGGCGTTCTGGGGCTCGTGCTGCTCATCAGAAGAGTCAGTCCTTGCAGCTTGGTTTGGGCTTGGGCTCCTCATCTGGCATGCAGTCAAACCCCTTCGAGCGTGGTAGCATACTCGCCTCACCATTCGATGACAGCGAACCATCGCGTCAGAACTTCTTGGAGAACATGAGCAAGACGCAATCTCTTGGACGTGCCTTCTTGAATAATAACAACAACAACCGCCTGACAGATGCTGGCCCCTCGTTGCGTTCTCCATTCCCACTCGACGGCCCCATGCCGAGTGTCAAGTCCTTGAAGCGCAGATTTGGTGTTGACGATCAATCTGCTTCTCAGCAGCCATCGTTGGAAGATGTCTTCACCGCTCCTCCTGCATCATCCAACCATCCTATGCGTAATCGTGGCTTCAGCTTGAGTGCCGTTAACGGTATGGCTCAAAATGATAACAACGGATTCCCTGAACTATTCGCGCCTTCATCGTCAACTGCCGATCACAGGATGGGTGAAGCTTCGGACAGGCTTAACCCACCAAAGCTTGCTCAGCCTCCCAGGCTTGGCTCTCCATTCTCGGGTGGTGTCTCGAACAATCGTTTCAACACCTTCCCACGCCGCTTCACACCACGCGAAGCGGGACTGGCCGAACAACCCTTCGAGGAGCGCAAAATGTCAACAGGATCTCAACCCGACTCATGACACGACTTTACTTCTTATGTCTCGGGAAAGGCTGTCTCCATATTTCATGCAGGCACGGTAGACGAGACTTGCCTACGGATCAGCGACGAACATTTGACCACGACTTCGACGAACGAATCTGATGAAGGAGATTATTGAACTTTCCTCTATACGATTTCTTCTAATCTGTCTTTTTCTCTCTCACTGGCAGGCCAAACGATAGTGTATTTCAACCCTCTGACACTGGCCTTCCATCTTACTCTCATTCCGGAGCGCTTCTCTTTTCTTGTTTTTTCTCATTGTTTTTTATTGTCTTCTTTCGTTATACTGTCCCTCTGACGAAGCAACGAGACCGGAGACCCAAGCAACGCAACAATTACACAAACGCATAGTACGGCGGTGCACGGACGGGGTGTGATGGCGAAAAGCTGCTTTCATGGGATGTTTTTGTCTCTGTTTTCTTATGACTTCTCTTTACTTCTAGATCATGTCGGCGGAAACCCTTTGATGTTTGCACATTGCACATTGGAGGACTTTCTTCTCAACTTGGCACCCAACAACACAAACAAAAACAAGGCGCAATGGAATGGGTATGTGTGTGTTCCTGGTACTCTGACGATGCATTTGGGGGTGTGGGATGCATAAGGCGGCCTTGGGGGTTTTGTTTTTTTTTCCTTGATGCATTGTCTCTTTTCCTTCTGGGGTTCCTAAGGTTTCACACATTTATACAGGTCAGGAGTCCGATTCGTTCTGTTGACGAGATGAATTGAAGATTTCTTTCTGAAAATTTTGTTGATTGTGTTCCCCCTTGGTCCTTTTCCTGTGTTGTTTGTTCGTTCTCCTCGACCTTTATGGAAGAGTCGAGCCTGCCCCAGATGACTCTTTGCTTACGCTCTACTGCAGCGAGTCTTGCTTGCCTGAACTTTTTGTCATCAAAAATGAGTGTAGCGATCCATTGTACTTTTGATGCCGTGGAACTTGTACCTCCGGTTCTCCCCTTCTGCTCTGCTGCTCCTTGGTCCTTCTGTGCTTGCATTGAGAGTTTGGCGTTTGTATAGTTGGGACCAGAAGTCCTCTTTTGGTGCTGAGCGTTTGGGTTCGGATGAAGAGTCCTTTTTGGACGACGAGGCTTTTGAAGGGATGTTATGTTTTGGGAGGAGAATTTGATTGAGATGATGATGATGGTAAGACATGATATGGGGGTAGTGCTTTGGGCGAGGTGTGAGTCATGCTGTTTTGCGAGGATGTGATTGGTATTACCACGTGTGATTGAACTGAGCAGATCTCGGGCAAAGTGGGAAGGCGCGAATGGTGGGTGATATTTTACCTACCTCAAATTCTAGGCGTGCTTCCACATGTAACGTAGAACGATATATGCAGCTATGAAAATACAGAAAGGCTTTCCAAATTAGAGATGTGTCCAGAGAGAGCATCAATTCAGGATACCAGGCTCTCAGTGGAGGTTTTGTCAACATGATAGGCTGTCAAAATGCACAACTATGTCCATATGCTATGTGTGTCCACAGAGAGCCCATGAGGCAAAGGACTTTCGATGGATATGAGCATCATAAATCAACTATCAGAATGCACAGTTGTCTTGAGACAAGAGCTGTTGTCCAAGGAGAGCTTATGAGAAGAGATATTTTCAGTGGATGTTGCTCTATCTCTGGAAGTACTGTGCAATTGTACTGTTGTATTATGGCCTTGGAAGAACAGGGAGGCATCAAGGAGGAGCAAATGTAAGCTGGGTTGATTTCGTACTCCTGAAGCCAGGCTGATGACTGAAAGCAAGTGCCAACACTATCCAACACTATTTCAGGGGCGTGAACATACCTTTCTCGTGTCAAAGGCGGCATGCTTCTTACGACTACATCCAGGAGGAAGAGCTATACGCCGANTCACCGGGCGATGTAGCTGGATCGTCGAAAGAATGCTCCGTAGGCTTCTGACAGGCATCGCCGTCTCGGCACCGCCGAGAGCCAACGAGGACGAGCACACGACAAACAGCAGATTGAATTTCAGCTCGTTCACCTCTACGAAACTTCACCTTATCCCTTCGCCCTCGAGTTCTTCGCGGCGCCACCCAAGCACACAACCAGCTACCGCAGACGACGACTTCCGGGTACCAGCACAATCAATCATGCTTTCACGTCTTTCTCAAAGCGATTCTGAAGCCGATCACACAATGGCCGCCAGCTGGAGTCTGTACCAAGACGCAGAGCTAAACCGTGAGTACACCCTCATCGACAACGATGACACCGACGAACAGGGGTACGATGTCATCCCTGACATCAAGACAACTCTCGTCGAGAGGAACCCCAAGAGACCTCTCCACCCCCTCGACCACTAGTCCGATGACCGCAGCTACATCAGAAAGCTTGCGGAACGCATGGAGTATTGGGTGTCGGACCCAGCGGCTCGCCTCAGGGGCCGCAAGCAACGAACACCCAGCGAACGCAGCGACGAAGACCGGGCTGCTCAAAAGGGGGCCGAGGACGCGACCTGGGTCGCCGACACCAAGAGCGACATACGGTGTTTGTGGGACAACATGGGCGTCGGTCAAGATCTCCTGGATGACGAACTGCAGCGTTTGAGTGTGGCGTTCTTCTCTGAATGCCGGGAGAAGCTCGAGAGGATGGAGAATGCGGGCCATGGTGTCGGCCTGGCGCAGTTCCAGACCACAGTGCGCACTCTTTTGGTCGGGCACGACCTCAAGCTTTCAGGAGAAGGTATCAAGGTCATGAAAGATATGGCTACCGACAAGCAAGCTCTCCGCAACCGCCACACCTTCAGCTTCGAAGAACAGAGGGACATCAGCAAGTTTGCTGCCCAGATGATGGATCGTTTGTCCAGATGGGAATGCGACCTTCTCCGCAAACGCCTGTCCTCCACTATGACCCCTGAGCAGAGATCGATCCACGTTCGCCACAATCTGGATCTCGTCCATCGCTACTTCAACAATTGTGCCGTCAGATCATTTGCTGAAGGAAGGATGAAGCTGATGGAAGAGGAATTGACAAGGCTTCTGGAAGAAGAAAAGGAGCGAAGCAGAAAGCTTTGGGGGAAGGATCTGGACCGTCAACAGAAGCATCATGAAGAACAAATCGAGCTTCTCACAAAGCAGCTGGAGCGTCAGAAGTACTGAGACCCGTGATGAAACAAACGATTGGGGGTAGCATAGGTTTTGATACCTCTTCTCTGAGATGGATCTGAGAAGGAGAGGGGAGCTCCAATGGAAGATGAGGGAAGCTGCTGTCTTACAGCACAGCCGAGAATCAAGGCTTTGTCATGCAACAAGCATATGGAGAGAGAACAAGAAGACACACCCCTTTACACAACCGCAATGAAATGAGCCACTTTCTCTTGTCTGACACAATACATCCTTGACGTCTTTCAGTCACAAAAGCATGATCCCCGTGTGCAAAGTATGTGATATGCATACCTATTAAAATGCACAATGGTTTCGAGAAACATGGCAATGTCCACTGAAAGGGGTCACCTTGATAGACTCTCTTTGGACAGAGCTCTAGTCTGAAAACATTCATGCATTTTTACAGCATACCATACCACCCTTTATTGACGTAGGAGAGAGCTTGAAGGATGGTGAAGACAGATGGAAAGAGCTGCCCAGCAAACGACGTCAGAGCCGGCATTCGGAAGCTGGTTTCCGAAGAGAATCTGCCTCGTCACGAGGCACCTACCGCAGCGGAGTGCTGGTACAGGTATACGAGTATTCGAATCGGGACTTCGCACTCAGGAGCAAAGAAACTTGACAGCGGTCGACTCGTCTTACGGATAGCTTTACGGCAATGTATAAAGTTCTAGGTAAGCGTCACGCAGCAAAGGAGTCATCCCTAGCGCTGTGTCCACAAACTTTTGGAAGGAAGATCTCGGCTAAGGTCACGCCGGATCTCGTTGTCGGGAGATGACCGACTTGGCCGAAACGCGGTCTCGCAGTTCCTCCCTCTTCCATCTTGCTTCTCGCCTTGTCTTGCTACTTTCTTTGAAGTCACGACCAATCAATCGATATTTGAAACCGCAAAGAGAATCAATGCGTCTCCGCAGGCAATTGCTCTACCATCATCCGCCTTTCTTTGAGCAATAGACACTCGTCATGGATACCGATATGGAAAAGCAACAAAAGCCGCATGAACAGCATATCACTGAAGAAGCCGAATCACCACACTTCAGCAAGGAGTCCTTTGAGCAGGATATTGAATCCTCAGGCTCAGACGACAATGGCATCACACTCAAACGCACCGTATCGCGAAAGCCACCCCACCCAGAATGTGCTAGATGCAAGCACGGCCTCACAGATGAAGAAGGAGAGCCTTGTCACAAGCATGACGGCTTCGAAACCGATCCCAACCTCGTGCTCTGGGATGGAGATGATGATCCAGCAAAGCCCATGAACTGGCCCATGTGGCGTAAAGTCTGCTTTTCCATCACTGCTAGTTGCTTCGTCATTGCGGTCTCCATGTCGTCCAGTATCTTTGGTCCGGCTACCAAAATCACTGCCCGACAATATGGTGTCTCGCATGAGGTGATGAACCTGGGCATCACTTTCCACATTCTTGGTTTTGCCTGTGGGCCTCTGATCTTCGGTCCACTGAGTGAAGTCCTTGGCCGTACGATACCGCTCTGGATAGGTCTTTTTGGGATGGGAATCTTTCAGATACCAGAAGCTGTTGCTCAAAACGTCCAGACCATCCTCGTGTGTCGCTTCCTCCAAGGCTTGTTTGGTAGTGCCATCTTCGCTGTTGTGAGCGGCATGTTTGTCGATATCTGGTCGCCTATTCACCGAGGTGTGGGATTAGGGGCATCTGCGACCTGCATCAATCTTGGTTCTACATTCGCGCCGATTATTGGCGCCTATGCGACCAATCATCTCAACTGGAGATGGACAGCCTGGCTCACACTCATCTACATTGGTCTGGTCGGCTTTCTCGGTCTACTCATCGTACGCGAAAGCTTCGAACCAGTCCTTCTCGCTCGCAAAGCCAAGAGCCTTCGTTCCCAAACCGGAAACACCAATCTCTATGCTAAGTTTGAGGAGAATCCTATCGACTTCAGAACTCTGGTACAGAAGTATGCCACCAAGCCAGTGCGCATGTTTGTTCAAGAGCCGATTCTGATATTCTGCACCATTTACCTCACAATCGTATACGGAACACTCTATCTCTCCTACCAAGCCATCCCCTTCTCCTTCCGCAACAGAGGCTGGAGCCCTTCGGTCGCCTACCTCCCTTTCATCGCCATCACTCTAGGCATCATCAGTGCCTGGATCCTCTTCTCCATCTTCACATTGACCTGGTACAAAAAGCGATGGCTCGTCAACAAGTCCGCTCCCCCAGAAGACCGTCTTCCCCCAATGATTCTCGGTGCTTTTATTCTTCCTCCTGCACTTTTCTGGCTAGGCTGGTCGCAAGAGACACACTGGGCATCTCAAGTCATCGCAGCCTATTTTGTCGGCTTGGGCTTGCTGCTCATCTTTATCGCCGGTATAGTGTATATCGTGGATACATATCTGGTCAACAGCAATTCGGCAATGTCTATCCATATAGTGGTGAGAAGTATTGTCTCTTCTTCGTTTCCTCTGTTTGCAGGCCCCATGTTTGAGGGCTTGGGGACTGGGTGGGCGTGCTCGGTATTAGGGTTCGTGTGTCTTCTCATGGTGCCTGTACCCATTGTGTNNTTTTATCTCAAGGGCAAGACAATAAGGAGCTGGAGTCGTTATGCGCCTGGTACATAGAGATCCAGACCATTTAAATGTTCTGATATAGAGTTGTTTCTAGATACCGTATAGAAACCATGGAAAACACATGCTCAATTTCAGCCTATACAGATATCACTTAGATCACAACTCCTGTACTTCTGAGCCACAGTCCTTTCGCAATTGCCACTACTACAGCACCAATTACGTCAATATATGCTGGATTCAAGGAAGGATACAGTTTGGAAGGGCCATAGCAAAGCTGACTATCTCACTATGTCAGGTCTACAGACCTGCAACATCTGCAGATTGGTGTTGCTCGATCTTGATGATCAACGAAGAGAATGCATTGAACGTACTCGCTGGACAATCGTAGAAAGAGCTTGAGCTTCTTGTTTGCGTTTTACAGATCTACAATTTACACGGACCACCTTTCGACAGAGACAAAGAGCAGAAACACCATCTGTTTGTCCCGGAAGAGGTATTCACAGGACTTACAATCATAGCTGGTGGGCTCAGACATGCACAGTCTCACCCGTGAATCGCAAATCTACGAAAACAATACAACTACCTTTTAGGAGACTGGACTGCGGAGAGTGTCGAAGCATCGGGTAAGGTGTGAATCGGGTCGCGAAAGGGGGCTCGATGATGGTGAGGAGGTGACGAAGGACGGAGGACGTAAAACGACGGCGGAGATAAAATGCATGTTGTGGATCGTGGACATTCGATACGAGGAGGGAGGGAATCGGATCGCATTTGCGTTTCGCTTGATCTCGTGGATCAGAGCGCCGGAGGACGTCGAATGGTTGATAATTGATTGGATACGATATCGAAGGATCGGGTCGCTCGTGTATTCGAATCGCCTCGTTGCTGCTGCTAATTTTTTGATCAATCTCGAGTAACGCCCGCCTAAAAAGCACCCAACAACAAAACAGAGCGTAGAAGGGCATCAAACAGCGTGAACCTCGCATTTTTGTCCATAAACTGGAACGCTGCAGGGCGACGAGGTTGCTGCACTGGGGAATGGGGGTGGGAGTGATTTATGCTGGCCAGGCGTGCTGACTGGTTGCGACACCGAATCTGTTACTATCCCAGTTGGAATAGTGAACACTAGCAGCAATGGGATTAGTGGGGTAAGAATGGCACGAGTGCAGGATAACTACTCGGCGGTATCAAGGTCGTCGTGGGCAGCGGCGGCAGGAGGACTCTCCACAGCGGGTTCTGTACCATGTTAGCAGCTGTCGAAATGCAGTGCTATTGAGGAACAGGAGAGATTTCAGAGAGAGCCTGTCAGGACAACGTCTCTCACTGGACAGAGCTCTGCTCCTGAAACCATGGCGCCTCTTTACTGCTGTATAGCACAAGTGGAGGAAGGGATTACTCACCCTTGGGTTCTTCGCCGTTGGGCTCGCGTTCTTCGCGCTCTTCGCGCTCTTCTCTCTCACGATCTTCACGCTCCTCGCGGGGGCGTTCCTCACGTTCGCGGTCATCATCGCGCTTGGTGTCACGCTCACGGTCGTCGTCACGGTCTCTGACATCGCGGTCTCTCTCGCGCTCACGGTCTTCGGGGCTGCGGGTGCGGTCGCGGCGGTCGTAGTCGCGTTCACGGCGGTCTTCCTTGCGAGGAGAGTGGTCGCCACGGCGGGAACGCGGAGCAGGGCTGACGGAACGGCGACGAGGAGAACGGTCACGGCGGTCACCGCGATCGCCACGGTCGCCACGGTCGCCACGCTCACCGCGAGGAGGACGACCGGCATCGAAGCGCCAAGAAGCAGAGGGAGGGGTTCTGGCCCACTGTCGAGAGCAGTCAGTTTTATGTCGTCAATAGAAAGCGAGCTAAATAGGAGCGCACCTCGATCTTCAATTCCTCGTTGCGACTGATGCGGCGGTTGTGCATCTCATGGTAGGCATCGTCAGCATCGCGACGGCTCTCGTACTCGACAAAGGCGAAACTGTGCATGGTTAGCGACACGCTGCGATGGCTGGGCGGCCAGAAGAAGACTTACAGTCTGCTGGAAGAGGTGCGAGGAGCGGGAATGTCGCAGCGGACCAGGCGGCCGTAACTGTTCAAGTCAGTACCGAATCAATGTTGAAGACATGCCCGCAACATGCGCGTAGCGATGGGATGCATACCGTTCGAACTCGTAGGCGAGATCACGGGCGCGGGTTGCGGGACCAAAGCCGGAGACGTAGAGGGTGGTCGAGGAGCGCGACATGTTGGGTCCGGATGGATAGTGAATCTTTGGTGTGTACTGAGTGATGAGTCTGTCAATATCGAACTGATGCGAGGATGGCACGAAAGAAAGTCGATAGACTTGTGTCAAATGACGATGCAGGAGATGTGGCTGGGCCCTGCCCTTCGACCGCCTGAGAGAGCTTGCGCTCTTTCTTTCCTTGGCACGGCATGTGCCGGGCGGATGTTCTTACCTTGCCATGTTTACCAAAGGTCTGGAGATCCTCGTGCTCCTTCTTTTCTCTCCATCTGTAAAGTCGTATAGAGTGACCGTCTGAAGATGACATGGCGATTTGCGTCCGGTCCGGTTGATGAGGAAGAAGGTCAAGTGGACAATCGGACGAGCAAAATGTCATGACCATAAACACCTTCGTTTGCGGTCAAGTCGGTGCATTCAGTTGCTTGTCTTTCACTTGTTGTTTGCGCCTTGACAAACTGTACAATCGGAATTGTCATTGCACGAAGTACTTGATTGTTGTAACTTCCTGAACATGTTCACTTGCAATTTCATTCTCGTAAGTCCTCCTGTTTGATAACACCTCGCACTCAGTAATCCTCAAGAGGAGGAAAGTGTGAGCTGGCTGTTGTGTACTGAGCTGGCCATCTCTGAGCAACCCGTCGGTTCAATGCACTNGTTCTTGTCTTAGTCTCTTTCATCGAGATTGCTCGCACATCAATAACTCACCCAACTCTGCCTTGTGTCCATTCAAGATCTCTCTGGACATCTCTTGCAGCTTGAATGCCATCGGCAAAGTTCCTTCTGGCAGACTTGAGTCGAGACTGTGCCAGTGCTTGTAAGGCTTGCAACTCCCGAGTTTTGACATTGAGTTCGCCTGATCTANNGCCACAACGTCAGTGGGTCAAACGACTCAAGACTTGAAGAATGCTTTACCTCTGTGCTTGTGTTGCCAAACTACGGTCCAGGGGAGTAGGGTCCATCGCTCTGTTGAGTCGATCACCCATATAGCTGAGTGCATCGACTGGACTATTGCTCTCACTGCCAGAGTACGAGCTCACGGATGGGGCTCTGCTCGGGATCGAGTATGAGCTTCCCCCTGTTGTGATGCTTTCTGACCGTGAGGGTGGAGGTTGGTATAGCTGGCCATAGACGGGAGATGGATGGTAAGGTTGAGATGCAGCAGTGTATGCAGATGTCTTTGTCGAGACAGCCCAAGGGGCAGTAGACTGAGCGGCGTAAGAGTATGTTGCAGAAGGCATTTTTTTCTCTGTGAGTGCTTCTTGGATATGAAATGGATGAGTTGAAGAGGGATGAAACAATTGAGATGAGCGTAGCATTGCACTTACTTATTCACTTCCTGACACCCTCCAAACCCTTCCCCTCATCTCTCATCACGACATCCATTCGCTACAATACCTTCCCAATTCACCACCTCAATACCTCGAACGATCCCTCCCGCGTCAGTCAACAGTCAGCTGAGTGCCAATGGATGCGAGATAGGCGAGGGTTCCGTCGCTTCTATATCACCCCTTGCCTTTGTACTCACTTCGGCTAAGCTGAAGCTATCTCTCCTCCAATAACTCAAGCCAAACGGGCACTCGCATAAATGGATCCTTGAAAAGTCGTGGTTGCCATGCAGTGCCTCGTGGAGCCTATGGTCTCGCAACCCGAAGCTGCCGCAGCCAGAGCAATTTGAGTGTTGGGCAGACGTGGCATCAGGCAACGAGGGTCTATCCACTAGATTTGTAGACGTCTCTTGCATGTCGTGCGAAGCTAAAAAGTACACCCTTGACACCTGTCATGGCATGGTATTGGACTCGCCCGAACGTGTCGTACCCAATTCCTCGAGGGAACGCAGCCCGTCCGACGTCCGAGACGGCGACGCTGATTCGCCAATGCAGCGTCGGGCAGCCAAGTAGGGTCCAGTACCATGGCTCCATGTTTTGGCGTGCATGCATACTCATACCGCCTTGATGCCTAAGTGTATCTTTTTTCTTTATTTGACTTTTTGACCAAAGTCCGAATTCGAGGTTGCTGGGCAGACCGCTATTTGGGCTTGGACACCACCAAGCCGGTCGAATTCAGGCAGCACTTCTTATCAGCTAGTACATTGGGTACGAAGCGAATACTTGCGGTTGATTGTGGATGTATATACCTCATCGTCTATTGTACTAGTAAGGATGTGTGAAGGATTAGTATGTCGAGGGCATCATGCTCAGGCGACCGCCGTCGATAACTTGTACATTGCCATTGTGGTAGGCTCCGGACTTGCCAACGAGGAACAAGATCATACTGGCCATGTCCTCGTACGAGCCAGATCTGCTCGCAGGGATTTGAGTGACTGGGAAGGAACCAGTGTCTCCGGCGGTCATGTCGGAAGGGAATNNCCTAGGTTGGGTCAGTCTACCATGTAATAGCTTGATCGCAGAAGTACACTCACTGCCCGGAGCGATGACATTGCTTCTAATGCCGAAAGGAGCAAGCAAAGTAGCCAATGCCTTGCCTAGCATAGCAGCACCGGCTTTGGTCGCCGAGTACGCCAGACCGGCGGTAACGAAGCGATTGAAAGATGCGATACTGGCGACGGTGATGATTTGACTTGTTCTCGGATCGTTTGCATCGTAGTTTGCGCCTTCAGCCCTCTCTTGCACTTCTCTTCTTCCCGTAGCCCAGCCTCTCTTCTTGTTGCCTGCATCGAGCAAATGCAAGAAAGCAGCACTGACGCTGACAATGGCAGATGTGTTTGTTTGGAATGAAGTGTCCCAACCTGACCAATCCCTCTTCATGATCTCTTGCAACTCCTGGATGCTCTGTGCCTTGTCGATACCTTTGTGGTCTGGGCCAAGCACACCAGCATTATTGATCAGGACATCAATGTGAGAGGACTCTTTTTCAATTTGCTTGACGGCTGCGTCGACGGAGGAGGGGTCGGTAACATCGCATTGGATGGGTTTGACGATATCGGGGTTGATTGATTTGGCAGCGTCTTCGAGGTTCTTGACTCTGCGACCGAGTAGGTACACCTTTTCGGCTCCAGATCCAGCCAGACTTGTAGCAAAGGCGAGACCAATACCTNNGCAGAGCGTTAGTTAAAGGCTTGGTTGGAATGCGGGTTGTCACTTACCGCTTCCTCCGCCTGTGATGACAACAGTAAGGCCCTTTGCTGAAAAGAGGTCCGAAGGGTTGATGGACTTTGAGGTATCCATGGTTGCTATGGGAATATAAGGGCAGATGCGAAGCAGTATGAGGAGATGGGATGTCAATTGAGCAGAGGTCTAACTCCTAAAGTTTACCTTTTGTCTCTGACGGCAGGGTGGAGGATAGTACGACACAAGAGGAAGCTCGGTAGCCCCATGTCGTGATTGCCGAACGTCATATCTGAGTAACCCTACACGTACATCTAAGAGCCAGTACATCTCTTTCGATACAGGGCGAGATACTACGAGCTGCCAAAGATAATACGAAGACTCAGAAATACATCCCGACAGCCCCTGTTGATGCGTGATCATCGAAGCTGCACATTGCTTGACAAAGCTTGGAGCTGTCGATTGCCCTCGGTGTAGCTTGCTCCGTCAGCAGAGTGACAGCCAGGGGCTTCCTCACTTCCTATTCCGTTTACCAAGCCTTCTCACTCAAGCCAAATCCCACAGCTTCGGATGAGTAAGCGACTGAGTAAGCAATAGCTGTGCACAGACCGCAGACAGCTCGTCAAAACTGTTTCCAGATCCCGACACCCCCTTTCTTTCTTCATACTTACCTTGGAGGGAAGGCGGCGATCATGAAGGCTGCTCTTCTGAAGAGACTCCGTGCATTGCACAGCGCGCAGGAGACTCTTCATGGATGTCCTTCGGGGCCTCCACTTCTGCAATTTTTCGTTTCACCCTTGTGTTTATCACATTGTATCCTTTTCATCGATTGATTGGCTTTCAGCTGGTCATTGGAGAAGAGTTTGTTTGTTATGATGAGTGTGATGTGAGCTACGATAGACAGCACTGGGGGCTCCAATGCTCTGTCTGTCGTCTGTTTTGTGAGAAGTATATGCTGTGTGCTGTTACCTTGAGCCATTCTGCTGCAAGTGCAGGCGGGTAAACAAGTGAAGCAGCGATTCGTCGCCCATAGCATTGATTGCAATGTGGTTTGATATCTTCATCACATCTTATAGGGCTGCTGGCTTGCTTACTCTTCGTTTCCCAGGGACATCACGTTGTTGTCCGCCTATTCTTCTCACTCTTCTTCCGAGAGCGCTGTCCGCATGTTGAAGATGCAGACGCTCTGGGATTGCAAGCTGGTGCAGTTGTGTCAACCTGTTCAGTTGATCGCATGGGTGCAGCTTGGTTCACTGCGCCTATCTTTGGTGTGTAGGTTGGCCGCGATGAGATTTGGTGCAGTCTATGATCAGTCATATCAAGACCGACTACCTCGGTCAATGAATGCAAGATGGTGTTTGCCATACCTTCATTGTTCGTGCTGCGCATGTAAACGAGAAGTTCACGACTTCTTGGAGGTTGATCCGGGTTGAGTTGATCGTCTGCTTCTCAAGTGCTGCGCTGTCTCAATTCCTTGCTGGTCCTGGCCATACGACCATGAGGAAGCAACCTTCAATACTAATAGCTTCTCCAAGCGTGCATGTGACGAACACTGTGTGTCAATAACCTGTCAACCACTGATACAGTGTTGTTGGTGTGCTTCGTTGTGATCGACAGGGTCGCACCTACCACAACCAGAAATAAGAAATACGAAATACGAGGCAGCAAGAGCCGGCCGCCAGCTCGGAAAGGCGTCTGAGCGTGACGTTGGTGAGCTCCCGCTCTCCGACACAGCTGCATACACTCGTCAATCATCACCTTCACCTTCACCAAGCATCTTGCGCGCCGTCATCTGCATAACTCTCACCATCCATCATTCCACCACTCCAGACCGACCACACACAACAGATCCGACACACATAACCGCAGTGCAAGATGGACAGCTTGGTGGCGCAGTACAGCAGACCAGCCTTCAAGGATGAGGGTTATCAAGAGCAGGACCAGCTGGAGCTCGTCGACTGCATGCCCACCGCCATCGATCTCAAGTTCGCGCTTCCTCCTGTCGCACAGGTGAGCTCGACCTCGTCACTCATCTGGAAATGATGGCTAACCATCTCGCAGGCGCAATCATGGCTCCGCGCAATGACCGACGACCACTCGAACCCCAACTGCCCCATCAAGCTCGCTCACGGAACAACTACCCTGGCCTTCAGATTCAAGGGTGGCATCATCGTGGCAACAGATTCGAGAGCAACTGCAGGAAACTGGATCGCCAGTCAGACAGTCAAGAAGGTTATTGAGATCAACCCCCAGCTTTTGGGTACCATGGCCGGTGGCGCTGCCGACTGCCAGTACTGGCTCGCCTACCTCGGTATGCAATGTCGTCTTCACGAGCTCCGTCACAAGCGCCGCATCTCGGTCGCCGCCGCCTCCAAGATCCTGGCCAACCTCGTCTACCAATACAAGGGCATGGGCTTGAGCATGGTATGTTGCCACTGCTTCTGCCAAACAGAGCAAGACGACTGACTTTACATGACAGNNGGTACCATGTGCGCTGGTGTCACACCCCAAGAAGGACCCGCTCTCTACTACATCGACAGCGACGGCACACGTCTTGCTGGTAACCTCTTCTGTGTCGGCTCCGGTCAAACATTCGCATACGGTGTGCTCGATGCCGAGTACAGCTACGATTTGTCAGATGAGGATGCTCTCGAGCTCGGTCGCCGCAGTATCCTGGCAGCCACACACAGAGATGCCTACTCGGGTGGTTACATCAATCTGTACCACGTCAAAGAGGAGGGCTGGGTCAAGCACGGCTTCAACGACACCAACCCCATCTTCTGGAAGACCAAGCTCGAGAAGGGCGAGTTCTCCAATGTCACAGCCGACCTGAACTAGCTGGAGGCAGGCTTGACCGTGGATGCATAGCGGGATCGGCGTTCTATGGCGGCTGGTGCTTGATGACTTCTCAAACTTGTAATCATACAGACAACTATGATGGTAGACGAAACACTTTTTATCGAACCACATGGCAGCGTGACGAACAGTTCTCTGTGTACTGACGTCTCGTCTATAACCCTCACTCATTCCCCACATGGAGATGGGGCGTGACATGGTAAACTATAGAAATGCACAGTTGCTCTTAGACTAGCGGACAAGCCCAGGGAGAGAGCCAGCATTAAACCTGCTCTCTTTGGTCAGATGTCTCGTCAGAGGACAACCATGAATGTTTGCAGGTGGATATTATGTGATAGATGTTCTTCATGGGAGAACATGTCACCCTCTTGTTAGAGTCTGTAACCCCGTCCTTATCTCACAACAGCATAGATTCACTTTTTGAACCATAAAAAGACACAAAGGTCTTCGGATTAGAGGTTTGACCAGGAAGAGCTCACCATGTGTCGTCTCCCAGTGGAAATATCTCTGGTTCTGGAAATTACTGTGCAATTCTATGGCTATCTGTGTTACGTATTTTGGCATAGAGAAGAGAAGTTGGGAAGGCAGTCGCGGTGTTTGGGCTCTTTCTCCGCGACGAACGTCACTTCCGAAGTGGATGCTCTTGCGCTTTTGTGGAATTGGCAAGAAGACTCGTCGACACTCACGAACATTCTGCCATTCTGGAATTATCGAACCTGACCTCGTCCTTCAGAACACCTAGAGATCGCCTACAAGCTGCAAATCCATCTCGCGTCCATCAAAAGCAAAAGCACCTCACGTCCGCCCCGCGCCTGCATCGCCGCGGCATGTTCTTTTAGGCGCATAGACTACCTTGGTGCAACATGATGATCTCGGATCTGGAAAGGGCCTTGGGAGTCTTCCTTAGAGACTTGCCTCGCGAATTCAACAACCGCTACACGCCAGAGGCAGACTCGGTCCTCCGCTCCCGCCTCTTTCGATCTCTCGTCGGCGATGATGAATCCAAGCTCAATCTTCTGTTCCCGAACGGCGTCCCCGAAGAAGGGCAATGGGTACTACGCGACGNCCCAGGGCGCTGTAGACGGTGCAGAATATACAGCTGCCGCGAAAGGCCATCCATGCGGTCACATATTCAAGGCCGGCGAGTCAACATACCATTGCAAGACATGCGCTGCCGATGACACCTGTGTTCTCTGTGCACGATGCTTTACCGAGTCCGACCATGAGGGCCATATGGTCTACATCAGTGTCTCTCCTGGCAACAGTGGTTGCTGCGACTGCGCCGACGACGAAGCCTGGGTTCGTCCTGTCCATTGCACCATTCACAGCGCCGACGATGCGCCAGGCCAAAAAGCTGCTGGAAAAACAAGTCAAACCCCGACCCTTCCTGACGAGCTGCTCGGCCCTGTCCGTATGACTATCGCAAAGGCCGTCGACTACATGTGTGACGTCTTCTCCTGCTCGCCAGAGCAACTGCGCTTGCAAAAGACCGAGGATAATGTCCGGAGAGATGAGCTGCTATCGCGTCTCACCTCACACCTTTATGGTGGCGCCGAGGTTGACGAGTCAGATGAAGAGTACGCTTTGGTACTATGGAACGACGAAAAACACACTGTCACCGACGTCCAGAATCAAGTGGCCAAGGCCTGTAGAAAGCCCAAAAGTTTTGGTCTGCAAAAGGCCATGGAGGTCAACGATATTGGTCGAAGCATCATACACTACTCGCATGACCTTGCCGAGCTCCTTCGCATGGCTGCAATTATAGAACAACTCAAGGTCACTGTAACCGTTCGTTCCGCCAGAGACACCTTCCGTGAGCAAATGTGCAGCTCCGTCGTTGACTGGATCTCGGACATCTCAGGTTGCTCGATTGCTTCTGACCCTCATGTTCTACGAAACACAATTTGCGAGGAGCTGCTACGGCCCTGGCGTATGGGAAGTGAAGCCATCAACGCTACTATAGGAGAGGGCGGTATCGATGATCACGAGCACGAGGAGAATGTCAAGAATCGAAGGGAAGATGCCAGATGGTTTCGTCCGTTAGCCGGCATTAATGTCGTCAGAATCAACGTCGAAAACGACGATGACGACAATGAAGAGGTTGATGATGATGAGGACGAGGACGATGAGAACGACATGACTATTGAGGAGTTCCTCATGGCAGAACACGAAGACCTCGGTGTTGAGGAAGCTATGGATTTGGATCCAGACAACCCTGATCCCCTCGCTATGGCTCTTGCAGACAACGACATAGATCTTGACCTTGTTGATATCGACACTGAAGGTCCTGCTGAAAATTTTGAGGCGACTCTTGCTGGCTATCCTGCACCCCCACCACCACCACCTACCACACGCCGTCGAACAAGATCTGTGACTGTGAATGAGTCTGACGATGGTGAACAACATCCATCGTCCAGGCCTGACCCACCTTCTCAGCCTTCGGCACCCTTCTCGAACCTCCCCAAAACACCAAAGTCTAGAGTCAAATCGAGTCGTCCCGTCCGTCCTGCTCGTTATTGGCTCGAGACTCCGGAAGAATACAGATCACAATCAGCTTCTACCCCAGCGGAAGACCTCTGGCAAAGAGTGCGCCTTGACTATCTCATATTGTACGACCTGAGGATGTGGAAGACTCTCCGTATTGACCTTCGTCATCTTTACATCAGCACTGTTGTTACCGTGCCTCAGTTCAAGCGCATACTAGGATTGAGGTTTGCTGGCCTATACACCATGCTAGCTCAGCTTTATCTCATTGCTGATCGCGAGCCGGATCATTCCATCATCAACCTCTCTGTACAGATGCTTACGACTCCATCTATTACCGCAGAAGTTGTGGAGAGAGGCAACTTCCTAACCAATCTGCTTGCCATCCTCTACACATTCCTCACCACTCGTCAAGTTGGATTTCCAAAGGATGTCAATCCGAACGCCACCCTTGCATTCGATGCAGGTGCTGTCACCAACAGACGCATGTTCCATTTCTTCCTTGATACACGTTACATGTTCCAGTCAGCGTTCGTACAAGAAAAGGTTCGGAATGAGCCTCGCTACCTGATGCAGTTCCTGGATCTGGTGAAGCTTCATCAAGGAATTTGTCCCAACGTTCGAGCAGTTGGCGAGCACGTCGAATACGAAGCAGACGCATGGATCAGTGCTACTTTGATCATCAAGGAGATCAACAGACTTTGTCGTCAAGTTGCGGAGGCTTACAGATGGTCTGATGATGGAGACACAACTCCAGTACAAAGAGCCATCAGATATGCCGCGCAAGCCACCTTCATAAACGCATTCGGCCTCGAGCGTAACAGATTCCCGAGTGCTGAAACCAAAGAACCCCAGACTTTCTTGCGTCTTCTCAACAAGAAGAGGCCGAAGTATATCGAGGCGATTGGCCGCGAGGTGACGTGCCGCGATGAAAGCTACAGTCTACCTCAATTTGACATAGCGACTGGTTCAATGAGTTTCCACCATCCCCTACATTACCTCTTGTCGTGGCTGCTTGAGGCAGGTGTAGACATCGAACGCGAGGAAATGCTGAAAGTGCTGAAGTTTACTCACGCTGATTTCAAAGACCCCTGGCAGACAAGCTGGAAGACCGCTCCACAAGCCACAAATTATGACTCGGCTGAAATCACGACGATGCTCTTCGAACACCCCCTGCGTGTTTGCGCCTGGCTAGCCCAGATGCGCGCTGGTATGTGGGTCCGTAATGGTGTGACCCTCCGTCATCAAATGCATCAGTACCGCGGAACTTCTCAACGAGACGTCTCCTATCAGCGTGATATATTCATGCTTCAAGCAGGTCTTGTATTGTGCGGAAACTCTGGTGAATCACTAGGGGAGAGATTTTTGGCTCAAATCGTTGATAGATTCGATCTGTCCGGTTTCGTCAATGGCGTCTTCGACCTTTATCCGGGTTATGATGAACAGCAAAGGCTCGACGTCACCGAAGAGTTCTTCCACCTGCTCATCGTCCTGCTCAGCGAAAGACAGAATCTTTTGCCTGGCCAGGACAAGCCAAGCCAGCATGTCAAGCTCTTGCAGCGTGACATCGCACACGTTCTCTGTTTCAAACCTTTGTCTTTCTCAGACATCTCCAACCGTTTGACCGATAGAGTAGCGGATTCGGAAGAGTTCGACGCAATACTTGAGAGTATGACAAATTTCCGTGCACCGGAAGGCTTGAACGACACAGGCACTTTCGAGTTGCATCCTCGTTTCATCGAGCTGATTGATCCATACTACGCCTACTATAACCGCAATCAACGAGAAGAGGCCGAGACCATCTACAGAGAGTACATGGCCAAGAAAACTAACAAAACTGCTGCAGACACTGTTTTTGAGCCTCAGCTCCCACTCATCAATTCTGGCCTTTTCAAGAGCCTTGGCGCATTTACGCAAACTACGTTCTTCAGTGAGGTTGTCTATTGGGGTTTCGAATTCTGCTTGCGTCATGACGAGACTGTTGACAAGACACAAATCACCAGGATCGAGACGATGCTGCATGTCATTCTCCACCTCACTCTCCTGGCGGTGATGGAGGATGCTACTCCAAAAGGACCCAAGCCGATGGCCGCAGAAGACAGCTTTGTCAGGTTGGCCCTAGCGGTCTCACACAGCGAGGAGAGTGCAGACAAGACCATTGTCGACTCTCTTTTCCGCCTATCAAAGGTCAAAGCTTTCGCATCTTGTGCACCCAAGGTCTTGCACGTTCTGAAGAGAATGTCTGAGAAGTGGCCGGAAGAATATGCCAACGCCAAGTCAAGGCTATTGCCTGATGAGAAGGAAGAGACCGAGGAGACCACTTCTGCGCCGTCCGAGGACAAGGAAGCCAAGAAGAAAGCTGCGCTCGAACGCCAGGCACGAGTTATGGCACAATTCAAAGCTCAGCAAACTTCCTTCATGGAGAACCAAGGCTTGGATTGGGAAGCAGATGACTACAGTGATATGGATCAAGATGACGATTCAGGAGAGAGGACTGTTGAGACCAAAGTCTGCCCCTTCCCCAGGGAACCTTGTATTCTGTGTCAAGAAGATACCGACGACAGCAGAATTTACGGCACGTTTGCTTTTATCGCGCCGAGCAAGATCCTTAGACAAACTCCTCTTGATGACAGAGACTTCGTGAATGAAGTTTTGGATACCCCGGAGAGTCTCGACCAGTCTTCAGACGCTATCAGACCTTTTGGCGTCGCCAGGTTCGCAACAGAGACAGTTGGAAAGGTGAACAACGATGGGTCCAAATGCACGCAAGAGAAGCGAGGTCTCGGCAAAGGCTTTCCACATGATAGCGCATTCCAAGGTCCAGTCCTGAATAGCTGCGGTCACATCATGCACTTCACTTGTTTTGAACAATATCTGGTAGCAACGAAGAGAAGGCATACCCAGCATATCTCACGTAATCATCCAGAGCGACCCGACACGGTGGAATTCATCTGCCCCCTGTGCAAAGCACTTGGCAACACATTCTTACCGATCATCTGGAAGGAGAAGCACTATCATCCTGCATCTACTCTTGACCAGCAGCAAAAGACCTTCGACCAATGGATACTCGATCAGGAAGCACATAGGATTGCTGACGAAGTCGGCCAATTACTGTCAAGCGTCTTTGTACGCGAGGCTCACGTGGACTATATGCAAAAGTCCTTAATCTCCACGCTAGCATCTTCTTTCCCACAGGCATCTTCTGCGCACGCCATGGAACCTCGATTGATGGATCCGGATTCGGATACGCAAAGCTCCGAAGAAGAGTCAAGATCGATTCTACCCGAGATGGTTCGTAGAGTGGCCAACCAATTTGAGCTCAACACAGTGCCTGGACTGGAGACGCTCGTCAATTTGACACCGAGGCTGGAAAATTTATCAAACTTAGCCAGCAGATTTGATACTCGGCATCGACCTGCTACGCCATCTGCGGAGCTCAAGAGAGCATACAATCGCATCGAGGAGAGCCTAAGTCCGATAGGTGCCTTGAAGCCCAATACCATTGGACTTGAGCCTGGCACCCAGTCTTCGACGATCCGCCTAGCTGAAACTCTTTGCAATACCTTGGCTTTCACCATTTCGAGCATTGAAATATCTTACCGAGGAGTCGCAAGTCCTATGGACGGTGAGACTGGAACTTTCCTTGACACAATATCGGAACAAAGCATGAAGACTTTACGTATCCTTTCTGAGACCGTTCGTACCGCGACTGCCACCGCTGCTATCAAGAGTGGTATACCCGAGTACCTAAGAGAGACCAGAGTACACAGCTCATGGGCCGGTCAACTANAAAAGGTGCTTGGCGATGAATCTGATGAAGACCCAGCACTCGCATATGCTTCGTTGCTCGGCCACGATTTGTTCACCTTCTTTGCCGGTTGTGTGGTCAATGAAGTACCCATGGGTGAGAACATGCATCACATTCTCAGGCTCTGTTACTCTGCGGAGCTGATCAAAGTCATCGTTACATTCCTGTGCCGCGACTCAGTTAAAGATGCCCAGCAAGACCCTCAACACGGTCGCTGGGATCTATCAGGTATCAAGCTGTTCCAAAACTGGTGCAAGGAACAGGGCGCCATTGAATTCAGCCCGCATATCTCAGGCTCGCGCCTATCCCAGCAAAATTTCTGGGATCTGGAGTGGGATACACCGCATCTGAGCAAACTGATTGATGCGTACGCTCTTACATTCCTCAGGAAGGCTTTGCTTCTGACTCACATCCATTTCGGTGTCGACTTCGCGAACTCCAATGAGAATCCAGATCTGCCAGAGTTGCAACGTCTGGCCAGGATCCTTCGTCTTCCCTCTCCTCAGGAAGTAGTGACGCAGCTCGGCAATGACGAAGAGTTGCAGATGATTGCCGCGCGGTGGATCAACAGTGTGCTTGTTAGCACCGCCACAAAAGAAAGATTGCGAACCGACGCCCAATATCTCAGCCATCCAACAATCTTCGAGCTCGTTGGCTTGCCTAAGCATTATGACACCCTGACAGAAGAAGCCATTAAGCGACGCTGTCCAACGACTGGCAAAGAAGTGACAGATCCCGCCATCTGTCTGTTCTGCGGAGAAATCTTCTGCAGTCAAGCTAGTTGCTGCATGACGGACCGCAACAAGGGTGGATGCTTCCAGCATAGAGAGAAGTAAGTCATATCATCCTCAACATGTTTAAAACCACTAACAGTCACATAGANNTGCAGCGGTAACATCGGCATTTTTATCAACATTCGTAAGTGTATGGTCTTGTTCCTGCACCATAGCCATGGTAGCTGGTATCATGCGCCTTATCTGGACCGTCATGGTGAGGTCGACCCTACCCTGCGTCGTCACCATCAACTCTTCCTCAATCAGAAGAGATATGACAAGCTGCTCAGAGAAGCATGGCTCAATCACGGCATCCCTAGTGTTATCTCAAGACGACTAGAGGGTGATATGAACACTGGAGGATGGGAGACGCTTTGAGCATATTGCATCAGGAGCATCATATGCATTTGGAGGAGTTAGTGGGTGCTTTCATTCATAAGTCGTAGCAATGAGACTTGAATTGATCATTCTTATAACCTCAATCCTCTGCCCGTGTACCAAGTCTGTCACAGCCGCTCGAGGCAACGTTCTAAGAGGATGTCCATGGCGCGCGGTGCAATGCACGGGGTCTCTTCAGAAGAGCAGCCTTCATAATCGCCGCCTTCCCTCTAAGGTAAGATTAAAGGAGGAAAGGAGGGTGTCGGGATCTGGAAACAGTTTTTGTCGAGCTGTCTGTAATCTGCGTTGAGCTCTTGCTTACTCAATCGCTTGCTTAGCGGATAATGTAATTAGGTCTTTTTGTCAGAATTACTGTCCTTATCTTATCTTTAAGTGTGCTCTATATTAGTACAGCTATATATGTGACAGGGTTCTCTAGGAAGAGGGTGGTTTCGATGTCTGCTCAGAGTACTGGTGCATGCGATGATCAAGCCGTTGAAAAACACAACCAAGTTGCACAACCACACATGTCATTCATACAACAAATACACACACATGTCGTTTTTGTCAACATCCTCCCTAGACGTCCCTTGTCGTCGGTTTCAGCAAAGTGTCACAAGCGTGTCACAAGCATGTCAGAGGCTTGTCAAAAGTTGTCATTTGGCTACAAGATCTGCACCGCTCCGCCTTAGCCCTAAGCGCGTTAGCTCTGGATCCTCCAGAGATACACCTTCGAATGTCGCCATCCGAGAAGTTCTGCGACATTAGCGTCACCGCGCACAAGCCATTGTTTTCGTGTAAGGCTGGATCAATTCTTCTAGCTTTTACGCATTTGAGCGAGGGCTACGTGAGGCAGATGACGACGCGTGTGTATCATCAGAAGAGCAGGGTGAGATTGGAACGGGTGCCGAGGAGGATGCACCAAAGCCGTGGGAGAGCGAAAGCTGCGGCTCATAAAACATTCCACATAGGGCCCAGACCCTGAACAGTTGAACATGATCGGCGATCAAACAAGCGTCGGGCCCTGACGGGACTTCTAGACTTGGTCAGCTCAAAATCAGCGAACCATCTTTTCTCCGGAGTCTCTGTCCAGGCGTGTGCCCAGAACTGCGACAATCCCACAATCAAACACGACGACCCCCCAAACCCACGCAGATGATTCGGCAGGCAGATTATTCTGCAGGCAGTGCGAGGAGCGCTCCTGCTGGATACGCATCGCATCCTGTCCAGTCGTCGAATCGGCCTGTCATGCCCATCGTATCGCAACCCATAAGCAAGCCCATCGAACTACCGCCACAATACCGCCCAAGGAAGCCACGAAAACAAGTCAACGTCGCTTGTCAGCCCTGTCGTAAACGCAGATCAAAGGTAGATCCATCAACAACTTTCCCATCAGCTTGACCCCTCGTGGTGCCATGGCATTCTGCGGGACTTCGGCATCGGCTAGACTGACTTGTCCATGTAGNNTGCACGGGCACGGCGCCATGCTCACGATGCGTGGCAGAAGGCAACGAGTGCATCTTTGATGGACGAAAGGATGCACAAGAACGCAACAGGGAACTTCGAAATGCCGAAAAGGCCCTATCCAAGGTGTTTCGTGTGCTGAAAAAGCTTGAAGCCGGGGATGCTCCCTCGACGGCTGCATTTGCTCAGATCAGACAGCTGGCAGAAAACAGCACCGAGTTTTCTGCATTCGCTCGTGAGCTCTTGAATTTGGATGAGAAGACGAGTGCTTTCGACTTTTCCGGCTTTGATGGAACGGGCGCTGTTGTGCCAAAGCATGATGACGAGTCGCGAGGATCAATAAGTTGGTCACATATCTCACCAGCACAGACTGGCGAGAATGGATCTACGGTAGGACGACCGAGTGCTTCCATCAAAACGATCATGGCTGATAACGTCACAGNNCCTCACTCGTCATACCGTCAAAGTCCGCCAGATGTTGCCATGAACGAAACTGCGTTGACATGCTCACAAACACCCTCTACCAGCACAAACCTTCACGTCGAACGACTGAATATAGGCTTGAGGTCCGGTTTTGGCAATCTACCATTTTCGAGCGCCATCAAGGCCAATGGCTATCCTGCACACATCCAACAACAACAACTACAAAATCTCAGCACTACTGCGGAGTATAGCATGCTACCACTCCATTCATTCGAATCCGAAGCACTCGGCAGAGCATATCTGAGCTTCAGAGACGCAACGCTGCAAATGATAGCTGATGGAGTGCCCGCCCGTGATGTCCTGGGACGACACGATTTCGTCAATCTGGACCTTTNNTTCTTCCGCGAGCGTCTGCCTACGGACGGCCACTCGGTCAGTACATTCGTTTGCGAGATTCTAAAGAACCTTGCAAATCCAGATATATACGCCAAATTGGCTACTATAGTCTTGCTAGGACCATTGATGANNAGGTAAGACTGATCTTTACTCTCATGTACTACGCACGTTTCTAATGCGAACGGACTACAGTGGATTTTGTTCCCCACATCAGAGCACTACCGAAAAATACCAGCACTCATGCGACCCTTACCCAGCCAGAGATTTATACCACACAGCCCAGCCCTCGATCTAGCACCTCAGTAAGATCCCCTTTGACGACCCCCTTTGACACCCGTCCCCCCCCCTAAGAACCACAAAACTAACATGACATCCACCATAGCCNCAGCGATCCGCGGCGTATTAATGACCGCCTACAACGAAGAATGGCTAACGCCAGAAAATCAAGTTACCGCGGCCCCAGTGATAAACTGGCCGCACGAGCTCGACAAGGCGGTCTACCACGATCTCACGGCCGGTTGTCTGCGCTTCACAAAGCAATTCGAGGAGCATGTGTGTGACCCCAACAATTGGACCTTTTCGAAACGTGTGTTGGAAGTGTTTCCGAGTATACAGGATCATGGCGCTATCATTGCACCCAGGCCCGGCGAAGAATGATGCTGGTCATCAGATTTGTGATGCGAAAGGGATGTCTGCCAATGGAAGGGAACGATATTAAGAAGAAGTAACGGCCAGCAAAAGGAGACTCGGAAGATGAATATTCTTAGGGAGGGAGACAGCAATCTAGCGATGTTAGCGGTTCTTGCGGGACACAAAGTCCTCATATCATTATCCTTCGCGTGTTGCAAGCAGAGTTTCTGAGGGTAGGATAAAAAAGGCATCCCGGTAGTTCCGCTCGACTATATCCTTCAGATTGTAGATGGAGATATATATATTAATTACTCATCAATTCTCTCAAAAAGAGACGTCAGTCGACACAGATATTCCCAATGCACCTTTTCTCTATCCACAAGAGAATAACAACAACAACTTACACCACTCCATAATCGAAAGAAGACACGTGCTGGCCAAAAGAACCATATCCATCTTGCCCCTTCTCATGTGAACGAATTTTGATAGAAGTTTCCTAAAAGCGACATCAAGAATACAAGATGAAAACCGAGTCGAACAAATCTTCGGAAATGGCACCGAGCAAAACACGGAGCAACTGCCGCAACAAACGCCAGCTTCTTGATCATCCCGGACATAAAGTACCCGAATTGGTGTTACTCTACCCATGTTTCATTTCTCACCTGCCGTGTAACAAGTTTTCTCCAAACAGATATTTCCTGCAAGAGGGGGTCTTAGACTCTACTGCTAAACGGCAAGGATTGTTTCCATATTGACCTGCATATAGCCTGTGGCTGGAAAACAGGGAGATTAGGGCTGTGTCTGTGGTGCGACTGTAACTACATGGACCTCGGACAAGTTTCTTGTTATTGTGCTGCAAGAACAACTGCATCAAATAACTTGCCAAAGAACGAAAAACATGGGACCTGTTGTCATTTAAGCAGGTAGATCTTTTGTTGCATGTTTTGATTGAAAAGGACCAGCCAGGGCTCAAGCAATCTAGAGAGGATGGACCCTCGAAGTGTTTCTTGAGAACTTGCCCTATGTGTCTTTTAAACTACCTCTACATACCAAAAGGCAGACTCGAGCCTCCACTCTCGCCTTTTTCCATTCTGTTGTTGGCGATGATGATTTCCAAGCCCGATTTTCTGTCCCTAAAAGAGTGTGCTGGAAAGAACTGCATTGTTTACAGAAACAAAATATCGAGGTAGCTTTGTATAGGTAGTTATGGCTCCGCTCGTTGGCTCCACGCATCCCAAGATTAGCTTGATCTTCTAGTCGCAGGAATAGGTTAACCAGCGATAGACGAGTCGAACACTAAGCAACGGGTCAATAGCTGAATGCCGTTGAAACAACACTATAGGAGTCAACTCCGCTGAGCGGCTTGAGTGAGCCCTGCAGTGAAAGATCAACATCAAGTTACTTTTCGGACCAACTCCTCCTTTCAGATGCCAAAACCTCGAGAGACTCGCTTCGTCACTTGAAGCAGGCAGAGGTGACCAAAAGAGGGGTTTGCGACAAAGACGGACGACAAAAAGGAGGGTGCGTCATTAACGGAGTAAACCCCGTACCAAAAAAATCACCTTTTCGTCATTTTGGCCACCAGAAACGCTGCCAAGGACGTGTAACCTCAACAGAGGAGTGCGTATACATGCGACGACTCTGCATTTCATGGTTGAAAGAGGTATGAATTTGGAAGTCTCATAGGTGGACCTTTGTCTTGCTGGTATGCAATCAAGGCGCAAGTTGCACTCTTGTTGCAAGACTCATCAAAGATTTGGAGGATTGTTTCCGAAGTGCTTTTGCTTGAGGCTCTGCCACTGCAGCGAGACAAAGGGGGTTAGCGCGTGTGTACGCAAAGCTGAGGGCTAGGTTTTAGGGCGACCTCTTCGTCCTTTGTGATTTGTTTTTGAACATCACTGAAATGCGACACGCGCAGACGGCATAGACAACCTTCCACCCCCGTCCCAAGCAGATGGCGCTGCGGACGAAGAGAGCGCGCTTGTGACAGCCATTGAATCCCCCCTAAACAGGTTTCGAAGCAGGACTATCCCGACGAGCCTTCCATCAGGCACAGGCGTCGCAGTACGTCATGAGCATAGCAGGCGACGACAGCTACAAACAGAGTACAAGTGCTGGCTTTGACAAGGGTCTGTTGACTCGAGAGGGTATGTAGCACGAAGGGACAGGGGCAAAAGCGGCAGACTGACCAACAGGGGACACATCTTGCTTTCGAGGTCGAGTTACCTGTTGGAATCTAGTTATATTGGGGTAATCTGACAAGAAGTCTCTTGTACAAACTAGATGGCGCCTATCCTGGCGCGCCATCGATATCAACGAATTGCAAAGCGATGGCCGGTACAGATTCAGAGACGCGACTGACGAAGAGCACACCGACGAAGAACTAACGCGAAGTTCTGCTGCAATGATCCGCTGGACTCCAAGCTCAGATGGGCGTGGCTGAGTACTACCGACGTCGAACATACTCTTGTAGGTATTCCAAGACAAACCCGTCCGACTCTTAGATGTTCGAGGCCGCTTCGGACCCGTGGGCAACATACTTTAACCACGAGGAGTGATAGAGATATGTGCGTCGACCTCTGTCAGAATCGAGTGTTCGTGCTCAGACGCACCCGGCCAGATAAGGATATGAGTGATGCCTTCGCGACTTGTCACAACAGGACATATTAATGTGTGCCGAGCAGATAGTGTGTGCCTCGATGGCTTATTGACGAGGTGAGTCGGTTCTTGTTGTTCGGGGGTTCAGTCGACGAGAGACAGCCAAATGATGACGATGGTGAAAGGTCGCCTTCATCCTGATCAGGTGTTGTTGACTAGGTCGGAGATGGCGAGGCGTCTCTTTAACGAATTGGCCGGCTCAACGCTCTCGCTGCCGTCTTGACTAGCATCTCTCGGGTCGTCGCCGCCGTCCATGAGGTCGACTCTCTGGGTGATGTCGCTGACAGATTCATGGTCGACAGTGGTAGTATCGGAAGGATGGGGGCGCTCCGGCCCNCAAGCGAGTAGGTCCCCGTCCTTAATGAAGGCAAGCGTCGACGATGCATCGTGAGTCCTACGCATGTGGTCGAGGATAAAAATCGCCTCTTGGCGTGGACGGTCCATCAACATCTGGACTAGGTCGTGGAGATCGCGCGATTCGGCTTCGAGGTTCTGGTACTTCCGCTTTATGGCAACCATGGGTGTGGCATCTGGATCCGCTGACCAGGTACACTCGGAGCTTTTGGTAACGCAAACTGAGCAGACTGGACGATGGCCATCGCACNNTGCACGACAGGGTCAGTCGGTCGATCCTGAAGAGAAGGCTCTGCTTTTGGTTGCTTATGCTATTGCACCCACAACGTCGAATCATACCTTTGTTTTCCTCCGACGACAAGCATTGCAAGCAACAGCTATCTGATGCCGCTTGGTCTTGCCCCTGGACGGCGACTCGTCCTTGGCCGAGCCAGAGCTCCTTCTCGAGCTCATCGCGTTCATGCCTCGAGAGCGGTCATTCATTGCTCTCGGACACGCAGCACAGCGCCGGCAACGAGACAGGGGCCAAAACCCTTCCAACAAGCAAAAACGTGGGAGGGGCTGGATCTTTGAAGACAAGGTCAAGTCAAAACGACGAAACTTTGAAAACAACGATAGACGTGTTTTGATTAGGCGATTCGGCGGCAGTGTCGGGGTTGTCAGCCGTCGCCGAAAGATCAGATTTGCTCGCCCGGCACCTCTCAAAGGGCTGTGGTTTGGCACCGGGAAGGGGGCAAGACAGGCGGCAGGCACCTAATGTAATGTCTGAGCGCAGAGACCGGAAAAACGACAGCGATGAGATAATGCGCGCATCATCATGGCATTCTGAACAATCACAGGCAAATTGCACCAAAATGCATGCTTGAAAAGTGCTGTTTCAGTCGGGAGGGAAGCAGCTCCGTTTGATCTCTCTCGCGCCACAATATCAAGCGTTGAGCCGCTTTCCCGGCTGCAGTCTGGCCGCCATCGGCCCTCTTGGACCCACAAATTCTCGGCGTCTAATCCGAAGGAGCGCGGCAGCTTGGGCCTTGCTTCGGACCCGGTGGAGCTCGCTCCGACACATATCAGGCAGGAGCCTCCGCCATATGAGCAATGCAGGCTATCCACGACAGTCTGTTCCACATTGAATAACAACCTCGGCTCGTAATAGACACGACATTTGCTCTGTCGTGAAAGAAGCTCTGCTAGATGCTCACTCTACCTAAAACTCCACGCCCTCCCCACTTTCCTCGCGCCCTCGCTTCTCAGCAGCTCGCTCTTCCTTCATGATCGCGTTTACGTGATCTCTAAACAGCTCAATGTAGGGCTTGAGACTTGTCTTTTGCCAGTCTTGAATCTTGTCGTCAGTGCCTTGCCACGAGTCAATCTCGGACAATAATTGTTGCACAGTCGGAACCTTCTCCGGTTCAAATTCCTCGAACCGCCGAACGTCGATTGGTACACAAACTCTGCCCGTACCCGGATGGATAACGAATGGACTTTTGAGCAGATGGTTGAGCTTCTTCGAGACCTCGGCATCAAGACGTGGGTACGTATATTCTAGACGAATGTCTTGTTTGGCGTGTACGAGCGTTTCGGGCGTAAGACTTGATAGAGACCCGGAGACGGAAGCCACAGCATCAATGTCAGCCCATTTCTGTGTACTGCTGCGATGTGGTGTGCTGTCCCATTTTCTTTGTAGCGCTGCTGTGAGGCTCTTGTCGGGCAAGAGTTGCAGCAAGTGTGTTGCCTTTTCTGGTGATGCCCAGGGGTCCTGCTCGAGCAGCACATCGGTCTGGAAGTAGCCATTCAGGATCTTCAAGCTGCGNACTGAACATAGTGTTAGCATGTGACGGGGCACTAGTTCCTCGTCTCGAACTTACTCCATGTGCGGATGTAAAGGTCTCTTCAGGTTCACCTTCTTGCCAGTCTTGTCACCTCCTTTCAACAGATCAAGATAGCCGGCGATCGACCTGCGCTTGTTGTCGTCCATGTCTCTCGCGCGCTTGTCACTGATCCAGGCGTGAGCACCACGTCTACCTGAGTAGACCCACATAATGTGCTTGAAACCAAAGTCATCTCTCAATGCCTTGTCTATAACCTTGATGGCCATGGTTATGAACTGCCAGCACTTTTGACAAATGCTTGCTCCAGAACAACACGTTCTGATCTCATCGTAGTCGGTCATATCGATATCGAAGACCAGCTCTTTGGCCAAGGGTCGGAAGGCACTTGCGTTGCGTAGCGTCTTTCTGTCTCGGGGATTTGCAGAGTATACGGGACCGATTTCGAAACGAGTGGGAGTGAGTTGGATGCACTGCTTGCGCAGTTCTTCGGCAGAATTGAATGATTGGTAGCGGATGTAAGCATCGTTGGGCAAGACAAAGGCCAATTCACGGTTGCTGAAGTCGGTCGTCGTGGTCGGGGAATGGTTCAGCCACTGGAAGAGGTATTTGAATGGGAAGAGTCTTTGGTAGAAAGCGCGCAGGACTTCTGCGTCTTTGCCGACGTTGGTGTTACCAGGCTTCCTGTATTGCTTTAGCTTACGCCTGACCTACGATGGGTCTTGACCTACGGCTCTGGCTGCGAGGATGCTTGAGTTTTGGTCTGAGCACTCGATGAGAACNTCATCGTCTTCATCCATGTCATCGTCGTCAAACATGTCTTCCAGCGATGCCTTCTCGACCTCATTGACTGCAGGTGCTGGTGATGATTGGGTTGCCTCATTCTGCAATTCTGCTTGTTCGTCAAGGGCGCCGGACGCAGGTTCTTCCATAACTATGTCGTCGACAGGTGGCGAGGATGGCGGATTCGGCGATTCGGCGTGAGGCATCTTGTTGTTTGGTATGTTGTGGTGTGTTTGATCAATAATGTTGATCCAAATGATCCTTGATTGTTGACGACGCGCTCTTGGACCGACAGACGCGGCGCGCAACGCTCGTGTTAAATTAGCTTTTGTGCACAGTTGCGGCATAACTATGCAAGGCTGACATGGTACAGCCAACTTCCTCCTTCCATCTCAACTTACGTCCGACGATACTGGTATTCTAGATTACCTGCCGATCATTTTCATCTGCCTGGTGGACGACATCAAGTCTTCCGTCCATCAGTCGTGCAGTAACAGAGCCTCGAAAGGAACGGGTTCGGTTGATGTAGCCATTCACAGCTGCCTCTTCATGGATTTTGGAAGGTTGCCTCTGTTCTCGAGCGCGCCTTCCTCAGTGAACCCAAGCATGTGCAAGCTGCGATAAACCTACGCTTGCTAACGCTTCCTCGATGCGTCGCATGTATCTCAAACGCTGCTCCTGTTTTTCACTTCATCAACACGATAATTCTTTGTGACTTCCCTCATGGCAGACCTGAACCTCGTTCCCTTTGCAGGCTATATCAGCGACGACTCAGATTTCCATGGTACAGTCAAAGTACGCAAGAAACTCAATGCACGCAGTCAGAAGATCAGCGACAAGCAGCTTGTTCAGTGTTGGAACAAGAATCAAGCAGCATATCCTGCTGCCGTCTCTGTCATGACCACACCGTCAGAGCCTGTCATTCATTACAACAGACTAGAAGGCGTCACAACAGCTCGACAGTTGACCGAAACAGTGGATGAGTTTGTCGAGCGCCTTCCACCCAGGACTACTTTCATGGGACCGTGGATCTGGATCACATGTCCCATAGTCAATGGCAAAGGCAAGATAGCGGCATCCCGACACAATCCAGAGCTGGAAGAATCACCTGAGCAAATGACGAACCGTGCTCGTACTTTGTTAAGCCAATTTGCTGCCGAAAAAGAAAGAATCTCCAGTGCCAATCCAAACTCGACGCAATCAACCATCATGAGAAAGCTGGGACCTCTACGTGAGCAACTGAAAGAAGACATCCTCGATATCGCGGTAGCCAGCGGGGTGACGAACGGCAAGGTAAGAGATCTCTCCCGGTTCGCAAAGCACAATTTGAAAACCTATCAAAAGGTATAATGCTTTTTGTCTCGAACAAAGGTCCATGGAGAGCATCATTATCACAAACTCTCCATGGCAACGACTCTCGTCCAAGAAACATCGTAACTATCTTCGCTTATGTTTGGTCACTGACACAGGGTCTAGTGGATGCTCTTCCCAAAACCAGAAGATGTCAATAGGGTTTGGGGGCTCGTTGCTCAAGCTGTTGTCGATGGCAGATTGGGTGATACTGCCAAAGTCGCACCAGCGGATCCGCCCGACCCTTTTGTTCAGGAGAAGCAATCAAGTCATCTGATTTGTGTGTACACCAGAGACTTTTCCGATCTTGACGATGTCAGAAGAGTGCTCGAAGAGCTAGTTGAGCTCGGCCTCGCTCCGCGTAATGCTGCCGACGGTGCAATCTACTACAAGGCTGACGCATACACCTACCTCAACATCGATTCTTCAAATTCCTATGGCCTTAAGGCTAGCCTTTACTCCAGCAAAGACGTCGTCAGCCTCTCGAAGACCGAGAAACAGCCAAAGAGAAAGCAGCAGACCTTGACCAATATGTTTGGTGACAGGAAGAAGAGGAAGATGTGAATGGAAAGAGAGGCCGGATGCTTGCTATTGTCCCCTTCACAGGGCTTTTCATGCTTCCAACCTTACCATTCACTTGCTTACCACTACATGACATCGCAACGCAATGTGGGAAGGCTTGTTTATGTATGGCAATTGATGCCGAGCTCAGCCAGTCGCAAGACACGATGGAGTTGCTTCACTGTACTGACTTAATCAGACCTGGCCTTTGCAGTCTTTTGCAGGAGTTTCTACCATTTCCATTGCGACAGCTCGTGCTGTTGTGTCATACCTACATATTACTATCGTTGTTTGACAGTTCTCGTGTTCGCTCCATACCTGGCTACACACAAGGATTCTGCTTGCGGCAATTGCGGTCAACATGCTTCATCCATCGAGTAAAACAATCGAATAAAAATCGAGTAACACATCCAGAACCTAGGCGATTTCGGGATCAACAGCAAAGGCTAAACAGGCACGTTATTGGAGCTTCTCCGGCCATCTCCGATCACCAGGATTGTAGACTGTCGCATCGTCCAGCTTGCCAGCCATGAATGCTTCCTCGAGCACGCTTGTAAGACAACATCGAGATGCGTTCACGTCTCTATATATATATACCGACATGTGTTTCCTTATCGTCTACCAACCATTCCATCATCTCTTATCTGTGGCCGGAATGCTAAACTCAAATCTCCATTGCCGGTCGGCTCCGACATTGACCCGGGCTCGACTTCTCTTATCAGCGCGACCAGCAGCAACGCCGGTCCAACGCTGCAAGCGCCTCTTCACCGTATTTCTTGGCCTGAGTTTCTATCGAGTAATTCTCTCGGTTCGATGGGATGTGCTGGCCCCCGAAAGGCAAGTCAATGGCCGGTTCTGTTGAGCAGTCTGCTCCTTGCCTCGGTGAAGGCCTCTTTTGCTAGTTGGCTTTTTCAAAGTCTCTGCGCGTGCCGTTGTCTAGAGTAGAGGCATGTCATGTCGAGCGGGTAGGCCCTGGCGGCGGCCCTCGAAACACCTTTATGTACCCCATACAATAAGAGCGCCCTACCCCAGATCTCTCTGGCTCTCTGACATCTTTCCTCCTCTACTCTTCTCTTTTACCCTGGTTCAATCTACCTTACAGTCTGTCGTTCATTATTCCCCCACTTTCGACTTGATCTTGTAGCAATAACAACAGACAAACACGCCCGAGCGGTTGCACCAGACACATACCTATAGAAAACCCCACTCTCCAAATCCAAAGAAATGGCACCTCACGCTCTCTCTCCTGCCGCCCAATCGGGGACCACTTCGCCAACACCTACACAAGCACAGTCCGACATTACCGTCCTAGCGTCCTCCCGAGCAGTGATCAAAGGCCGCCTCACAGCCGCAACGATTGTCATATCAACCGTGACAGGCAAGATCCAGTCGATCTGGGAATCAGTGTTGCCCGCCTCGTCTTTCCCTGCTGGAACTCCCTATGTCGATCACTCGCCGCACATCTTGATGCCAGGACTGGTAGATGCACACGTGCATTTGAATGAGCCTGGAAGAACAGAATGGGAGGGCTTTTGGACAGGAACACGGGCAGCTGCGTTTGGCGGTGTGACAACGATGGTCGATATGCCTTTGAATGCTATCCCTCCTACAACAACTGTTGCAGGGTTCAAAGAGAAGATTGCGGCTGCACAGGGCAAGTGCTGGGTTGATGTTGGCTTCTATGGCGGCATCGTGCCTGGCAATGTCGAAGAATTGAAGCCCTTGGTGAAGATGGGTGTCCGAGGCTTCAAGGGTTTCCTCATCGACAGTGGTGTATGTAAAGACCAGGACTGTGATGTCAGCATGTACAAACTAACAATTGTCTAGGTCGAAGAGTTTCCCGCCGTATCCTCCGAGGACATCTCGAAAGTCTTCCGCGAGCTCGGTGACGAGCCCACGACAGTCATGTTCCACGCAGAAATGATTCCTCCAGTCGCAAAATCTGTTGGCGACGACGTACAAGCCTCAGACCCTCCCATGGCTCCCACAGGTCCTCTGGACGTATACCAAACTTTCCTGGATTCCCGTCCTTCAACTTTCGAGACCTATGCCATTCTGGAAATCCTGAGCTTGGCACACCTGGCACCGCAACTGCCTTTGCACATAGTGCATTTGTCGGCCGTGGAGGCTATCCCTATGTTGCGTGAAGCACGCGCCAAGGGTGTCAACATCACCGCCGAAACATGCTTCCACTACCTCTCGCTAGCAGCAGAGGCCATCAAGAACGGAGACACACGACACAAATGCTGCCCACCCATCCGCAGCCAGAGCAACCAAGACGGTCTCTGGCACGAGATGTGCAGACTCGACGACAGCGTCATCAAAACCGTAGTCTCTGACCACTCTCCCTGCACGCCAAACCTCAAACTGTTGCCCGCAAACGTACCCGGCGCCATCGAGACCACCGCCAAAGAAGGCGAGGGCGACTTCTTCTCCGCCTGGGGCGGTATCAGCAGTGTAGGTCTGGGAATCAGTGTCCTGTGGACCGAAGCCGCAGCCCGCAAAATCACCATCGAAGACGTGGTGCGTTGGTGCTGTCTCAACACTGCCAAGCAAGTTGGTCTCGAACACCAAAAGGGAGACCTTGCTGTTGGTCTTGACGGCGATATTGCAGTCTTCGACGACGAGGCCGAGTTTATAGTTCAGCCCAACACTATGCTGTTCCGCAACAAGTGCAGTCCTTATCAGGACAAGACACTCAAGGGTGTTGTCAAGGAGACTTGGCTTCGTGGCCGCAAGATTCATACTCGCGATCAAGGCTTTGTTGAGAAGACTGGTCCTGCTGGACAGCTTCTGCTTGAGCCCAGAGTCAAGGTTTGATCATCAGAGGCATTTTCCATTCATACGAGGTTCTGCATACAATGTTGGGAAGGATTTTGTCGCATTTAAGCATATTCTTTCCTGCATAACTAGCGCGATATACTACAAGCTGTTTTGAGATACATGCATTGCATATACGTATCACGTTCATGAAATCACATATTCCTTTCTCGCTAAGTTGATTCAAATACCTCTTGTGTCGTTCTCCTTGGTTGTCTATCATGCCTTCTGTTTCCATTTGGTCGTGCCTTCCATTTTTGCTTGGTTGTTCCTTGCACCTCCATTCAAATCTATTCCGTCGTGCCTTCCTTTACTGGTGAGTCTCTTTCCTTCCTGATCCGGTTGTGGCACTTTCTCTTTCTAGCAGAAACTCACATGGAAGCAATCGAGCGTTAGCACCTGTTCGTAGGGTGATAATGCTCTCTGTTCGGCAGGTCACCGTCCCCGGGAGCTCGTACGAGCAGGACTCCCCGTCACTGAGATCTTGCGATGACGTGGTGTTGGAAAGTCATGATAGTGATAGGTTCCTGGAAGGCAGGCAGGCCCTTTAGCAGGCTGGTTCATGCGAAGAGAAGAAACTGGAAGTTTGCAGAAGATCATAGTTGATTTGGAAAGTGAAATCTTGGCTTGAGCGAATAGACAGTACTAAACAGTATAGAAAAATAAACATTCTTTGCGTGCCCACAAGGCAGCTGATAGTAACACCACTTCATGCAACCGTCGCTGTGCGCAAAACCGAACCCAGAACGCCATATCCTAGCGGAGTACATCTCACGCTTTTCGCTTGCTACAAACACAGAACAGAGAAATATAGTACAGAACTTCGGACTAGAATCTCAACGTGGCTTTGTCGAGATGTCTCAGTGCTTGGACATCGCGCGCAGCGTCGTAGCCCATCTTGTGCACGGGAATGTCTTGGGGACGGCCACCGATAGGGCTGCGGCTTGCGGGACGGCCAGCATTGAGTGACTGTGGGTTGCTCGTCTCGTGGATAAGAGAGCTGATACTTGGGATAGTGGTACCACCACTGACAGGAGGCAGAGTGGCAGGAGGCAGTTTGGTGGACTCTGTAGGAGCGCCTGCAGCAGTATCTCCCAAAGATCTCGGACTCGGAAGAGGAGGAGGAATAGTCTTCCTAGGGTCGTTGGCCAGGGCAGGGTCGATGGAGGGTTGACCGTGACTAGGAGGACGTGACGAGTGATCTTGGAGAGAGGGACGGTGGGCGTGGTTGATCTGAGGCAGAGGAGGAGGTGGAGGGTGGTTGTGGATAGGAGTGAGTTGCGGGTGATGATGATGGTGGTGAGAAGGCGGCGCAGGAAGCGCGTTGTTGGACAGCGGAGCAGGCACGCGGTCAAAGGCAGTAAGCGGAGGAGGGTAGTGCTGGGCGTGTTGTGGAGGGTATTGCGAAGGATGGAGGTGGTGCATGGGCGAGTGGTAGGCACCGTAGGGCGAGTAGTGCGGCGGCGGAGTATGCATGGGGCTCGGNGGAGCCCAGCCGGGATGAGGGTACGACATGGGACCATGTGTGTATTGCGGTCTTGGGTAGGGGGCGCCGATGTTTGCGGACTGGTGAGGAGAGTTGGCAAAGGCTGGGCTGGTCATGGGGCCTCTTGTGACGGCGGGGATGGCGTTTTGTTCGTGGACGGTCGACTCGGGGTACATGCCCTTCTCGGGACGGATGTGACGCAGCTGAGGGTCGCTGGAAGGCTGCTGCAGGTTTTGCGAGACGGCGGTAGAGCGGGCGAAGTAGCTGATGAGATGCAGGTGCTGGCCGTTGGAGGTCGTGATGCTGAACGACTGCTTGATCAGGCCGTCGGGCTTGTAGCGGTAACCGTCAGGACCATCATCCGAGGCGTCGTGGTCTTTGGCAGCAGGCGCCTTGGGTGCGGCATTGAAGGTGCTGCCGCCTCGCTTGCCTTCCATTTCGCGATATGTGAGGAAGCTGCCCGACACGCGACTTGCGCTCCATGACTTTCCGTCCGTCCAGCGTCTCATACCTGCCTCGCGCTCGTCCCACACAAAGACGGAGCCCGACTTGATCGAGAGTCTTTCCTTTTCCGAAAGGCGGCGCTGTACTCTGGGCAACAGACCGATCCTGCATGCCTCGAAGAGTAAAATGGCATCTCCAGGTGTTCGCACGTGTCCGTAGTATGTCTCCATGGCTGGCTGATGTCTTGCCTTCCGAGGCGAAGACAGGTGTTAGTTGAGAAGAAAGATTGTTGGCGATGGTCGAAGAGTGTGGGGCAGTGTTGGACGATTTTAGCACAAGTTGCAAGGGCTTGGGCGAGCCAGTTCTCCAAAGTGGTAGGTGTGAAGGAAAGAAGATTGGAGAAAAGAAGAAGCAGCAGCAGGCAGGAAGAGCAAGAACAAAACGAGTTGGCGAGCAGCAGGTGCGAACACGAAGGAATGCCCTGCGCATGCGCTTACTGGCCCTTCGACTAGCTTCGCTTTGATGAACCACCAAGACACCAAGAATTGCTAAGGCCACACGCTAAACCCTCTTTCCTACCCCAGTTTTGGCCTGGCTGAATCTCGACGTGCGCTCTTGCGAGAACTGTTCGTTTTTGCTTGCGTTCTTCGTGTGTCCCGACGGCCGGAGAATTGTTTGACGCAGCCTGCTCATGAACCTCATCTCATGCCTCCAATACAGCCGTCTACAGTCTCTTCTGTTATTCCAGAGCAGTGTGCTCGGGTTCGCCGGCTACCTTGACCTGCCCTACGTGGGCAACGTTCAGACTAGCAATGTACTTAAAATTAACGTTAAAATGGTGGATCGACTCGTGTCGACATGTTTAAGCGAACTCTGAAGGGGCTGCGAGTCGCTCCTTCGCAAAAAGTCACCATCTCTCTGTCCGTCATCCATTCGCTGTCGCACAGCGGCCACATTGATCACTTCTTTTCTAAGCCCTAACTTGCCATCATCGAGTCCCGCAACCTCGATTGCTGCCAGTGGTACCCGATGCTCCTCACTGCACTCACCACCTCTTTCTGATAGGCCAAGCATTCTTGACCTCGCGCTTGGCGGCCTGTCTCGATCATAGCGCGCCCTGGCGCCGATCTCGACGAGACAGCTAAGTCACAAGCCAAGGATGGCTGTGCAAGAGCGACAAGAAAGGACACAAGGCAGGCCAAGCACTTGTCTCCACCCCGACGATGGGGAATATCTCAATCTGGCTGAAGCACCAAGAACTAAACGTCGCCGTGCATACCCGTCATGCCACGCCCAGAAGGACAAGAGCTCGATTTAAGAGTTTGGGGGCGTCTTTGTGGCACTGCACTAGGGGTTCGCCTTTTCCTGCGTTGGATCGTCGTCAAATCAAACGACGTCCCCGTCTTCCCCGGATCGCCAGTGGACAGGATATTATCGACCATTTTCAACGTCACAAAGTGAGGACGTCGTCTGGCCACGTAAGCCTTACCTCCAAAATCCTTCACAATCGTCTAAGGAAATCGATCTGCTTGAACCTTTTGAGCTTATGGGTGATGACAGCCAAATCAAAACCTAAAAGGCATGTCACCATCTGACCCAAGGCATCCAACAGGGTTCCCGCCCCCAAGCCCGTACAAGATCCAATAGATCTCGGCATTCTTATCAGCTCGGCTTGTGCATACACATTGAACGCTTTAGTGCATGGCCTCCTGCTCCTCCCGAGCCCATTCCTTCACTCAAGTGCGAAGAGTGGACACCGCAGCAATTTCCATGATCTTACAAGAGCTTGTGAAGCTTTTTCTCCTCGGTCGCAATTGACGGTCCGTCGTCTGGTAAGGAGTCACGTCATGTGTCGCGTGAAGTCGATTTTGGGTTTGTGATCTGGTCTACGTTATCAAGGATAGAGTCGAAATTAAAGAATCCATCCACGAGGACGGGACAAAGCTTGGCTCCACGCATGGTACGAAGGAGCTAGTATCGAACCCTAAGTGCCACAGAGACCCAGCCAGCCCACGAAAACGGGCAAGTCTTACCACGCATCCCCTTACCTTTGTCCGAATCCTGAGATATACTTTATACAGGTCTCAGAGTCGAGAGCCGGGTTTTCCAATTGCAGTCTTGTGGGCGAGGCAAGAGTGCGATGGGCAGTGGTGGGGATCATTGACCGACGTGCCTCACCCGTTTGCTCTCATACGACATGGATGCAGGGTACACCGCTGTGTCGAAAGGTAGAGTTGTGTGTCGGAACAGCCTGGCCGCATGTAGCTTTTTCCCGGTACCGCATGCTTCTTGTCGTGTGTTGGATACACGAAGGAATGGAACAACAAACGCCGCAGTACGGATCCTCTCGGGCTCGAGAGCAAAACATCGCTTACCACCAACGAGGTATGGAGAATCGGCCCTTATGCTCGACCATCCATTGGAAAGATATGGGTTCAGCAGTTCTTATCGCCATACTCTCTTGCTAGGTTACAGGAAATCATGGAGTGGGATGTACTGTACGTCTCTGCTTGACAGCTCGACCCGAGAGAGCCTCACAAAGTACAGGTACGTATTTTCTCCGTGTGCAACCCACATGTTTCCGCCCCTCCACTCTATCAGCTAGCCGAGAACGTTCTTTTCAAGCATAATTCCCCAGGCTGCTGTGCACGCAGGCACGGCGGGGATGGTCAACGTTAGGCCTGTTATCGTCAAGTCCATAAGGCCCTATGTCATACGAGAAGACTGCATATGTGTACGGCCTTCACGTTGCACTCCGAGCCTTTCTCCTCTGATGAAGTATACTGTCAAACGTTGCGCTGCAGTTTGCGCGGACTTCGGGAATATGGGCCGTTCGTTGGTCTCGTGTTTTGTTTCCTTTTGTCTTTCTTCATCGCCGACATCACAAAATTGGCTCCGTATTTGCCGGATGCTTGTACATACGTGGTACTTGATCCAACAGCTGCCTGCATGTCAGATCTACGATTTTGACATTGCAGTCAACAACAAAGAGTAACTTTCTTGTCGGACTTCTTCTATGGCGTGCGCAGAAGGCTGCAAGCAAGGCTGCTCGAAGATGGGCATCATAAGTAGAAAGGAGTGTGAGGAGAAGCAGAACACAGCAGTATTACCGCTGATGGAGAAAATCAGATTTGGTTGTAGGAGAAAGGCCAACAGGGCCGCGTCATGTTTCGTCTACGCAATGATGGAGCCTTTCAAGCACGTGAAGCCCTGCCTGAAGAAGTAGCCTTGTTTTTAGCCTGTCCATCCATGTTCCAAAACCTGCTCTTGTATGCAGGGAAGGAACTTTGGTTCCATGTGTTGACCAGCAAGCTATTCGCAATGTATAGTCAGCAGAAAGCTCTACAGCTGGTATGATGTTGGTGTGTCCAGAGGTGTGGTGTGAAGGGTGTGAAGAAGGGAAGGGAATCGCACTTTTGTGTCCTGTCTGCCGATTCCTCTTCACTCATTTCCTTGACGCCGACCTTCATGCCGTCTTTTGTGAACATGACGTTCTTCTTCTCCATTGTCTTTTTTNNTCCCTTGTCGGCGAGATCGTTGGTCCAGAGGTACATCNNTTGGAGCTGTGTCAGTCTTCATTGCGCGTAGGCGGAGGTGAACAGAGGAGGCCTGACCTGGTAGCCGACAAAGGCGAATGCGCCGACCACGACAAAGAGGATGATGAGAGGAAGCAGATTCCAGATAGCGCCCATGATTGCGGTCGCAGTGTCGCAGCGTGTTCGGTTTGGAGGGTGCGCTCAGGTGGACGGCCGGCGAGGGATGGTGGGTGACAAGACGCAAGCTCGCCGTCGGTCTGCGAGAGTAGAAGTGAAAGAAGACGCGAGATTGCGAGTCGTATTCCTGAGATTGAGAGCCCACTAGGGTTGCGTATTCGTCAAGCGCCGAGCGCGACTCGTGTGATGAGGAAACACCAGGCCCGTGCACGCGGATCATTGGAGATGCATAAATATACAGTTATTATTCTTTGATCAGCGAGACGCCTGTGCACTCTCCTCTACCACACATTCGAGAAGGTCACTTAATCATGGCGAGATACTCAGCTCTGTTTGGAGTCGCCATGCTTACTAGCTGATATGAGCTGTAAGAGCCAACGACTATCCAACAGTCTCGTTGTCCGGACGGTTTTGGGTTGGCGTTGTGTAGCTGAGCTGAAAGTACTCCAGCTCGTGTGATCAGCTCTGGTCGGCATCCTACTCCTATCTTGTATGTATAACCGCCACTTTGAACAATCCCCCGATCCCGACTCAGCCACGAACTTCTCTATTGACGGTTTGTTGCAATGGCTCTCAGCAGGTACTCCGAGTAAGCTTTTGTATTGCAGTAACAATTCTGACGACTCATAAGCTGAACAGAGAAAGCGTTGTCACAGATTGTTGGCTCCTCTCAAACTAGAAAAGGTGATGTTTTGTGGGTATTGAAAAGTACAACAGTGTTGGCAGCGCGCTTACTGCCCACTCATGGTACTGTACTCGACTAAGGCTTGATCGGTCTCAAACTATCATGTTTTCTTAATGGCCTGCATCGACGCGCAATCTCGATGTATCAACAGGTGCAAAAGCCAAAGTCGTACTCATGCGCTGGGCACAAACTGGTCCTTGCGATCAGAAGAAAGGAGGAGAGCCTGCTCTAGTCCACACTCTTTTGCTATCTTTGCAAGACGGCCATAGATATACAGCCATTGATCCTTCGATATCCGAGGGCAACTTGAAGCTGCAGTGAGAGGCCAGATGAGTGAGTAGCCACCTATCAAATCGACTATCGTGTCCATTTGATCCGGTGTTCGTGCTGCCTGCTTCCCCATTCCCAACAAGAATGGAACACTCGAGCAGATATCATCGACAGTACGTTGTTCGATCCACCGCGTATGTATGTAGCGATCGTCCATGGGATAGTCGTATGGTCGTAACCATTCAAGTCCGTTCAGAATCACCTGTGCACAGAGCATGTGACACGAATGTAGCTTATTTAGCACGCCGGCCTTGTATCCGTCGACGAAGGCGTGGACAGGGCCGACCCATGCATCCGCATTCAGGGGGTCTGCTGGCTTCTCGGGTATGTAGTCGATTGTGTATGGTAGCCATTCGTCAGACAACGATGCCGCCCAGTTTTGCATGGTCGCTTCCAGATGACAGGCTCGTTCGATCAGCACTTCCATATCTGCCATGCTCTCGGCATCTCGTTGTCGCTCACAGACACGTCGGGTCTTTTCCATCAACGACGGAAGCTCGATGGTACAGTGAGTAAGATAGGCCAGTGGATCATCCTCGGTCGTGTCGCATAACCAGTTCATTCCTGCCTCGAGCTGCTTGCTAGGCTTGCCTTGTCTTATGCAATTGATGAGAACAAGTGTTCTCGCCGCACGAAAGAGTGCCAAACTTTGCTCGTTCTCAAGTTGTTCCATCCCTCTGCTTTGGACGATGGCACTAGCACCGTCTACATGATTTGACCATGCATCGATGGAATGATTTGTAGCCTTTATAGACNNTGTCGAGATCCGTCAGTGATAGATTTACCTGTGATGTAACGCTTCAAGACTTACCTCGTAAAGAGACAATAACAAAGTCGCTTGCAAAGTCTCATCTGATGTTGCTTGCATTGGATCTTGGAGGGCCCCAGCAGCAATTCGCATAGCCTTGCCATAGGTATCGGCTGCGCGGTAATGCAAATGCTCCTGATTTGGTAATTGAGAAATAGCGCACAGTGCTGCTGCGTGAGTAGCAGTCTGTAGCAACGAATCCTTTGCGGCATTGCTATACATTGGAGCCAGGAAGGGAAGAAATCCACTGACGGTATCTTGGGTTCTGTAAAGTCGAGCAAAATTTCTGAAGTACACCTGGACGACTTCTTCTTCGATTGAAAAGGTAGGCTGCTGACAGATAGTCGTCCTGGCTGCAAGACCCATTTGTGAGAGCCCCTGTCTGAGCATTATCTGGTTGTGGGTATTTGACTCCAAATGAGAGTCCATGAAGGTGGTTGGCATATCGGTCGAGACATCAGTTCTATCGACCTTTGCACGTACTATCACACTTCCGCTCTTGCTACTACAATATAGCGTGTTAGTCCTAAATCGGACATGGCTTGCGAACAACACTCACCTTGTCGAATCAGGAGATCTGGATGCTCGCGGCTTTCTTGCTTTTGTGACTCTACTGGTCACCTTCTCTGTCTGGTTCCGGAAGATATAGTCCGCTTCATCTTTGTAGCCCAAGCATACTCGCGAACTCTTCTCACACTGTGTGCATGTGGGTCGACCTTCATCGCACTGTGAATCCGTGAGTGACTTTGCATAATAAACGAAATCCTGCTTACCCACTTTGATCTTGCGTTTCTTGCACGTGGCACAACCTCGACTTGGCTTGCTTGGTCCAGTTAGCTGAAATGTTTCTATCTTTGTTATTTTCTGTCTTTTCTGCCTTACCCGCCGTACACCATGCTTGTTGGTTGAAGCGGGTGATACACAAAGCGACAAAAAACGTATAGAGAATCACACCTGGGGTTCTTGCAGAATCACACACAGCTGCTGCCTAGACGAACAGGATAAGAATGCAACTGCTTGGAATTTTCAGGGATGTTATTTGCATCAATCTCACCTGGGAAACTCTGTCGCTTCTACTGAAGTCATTCTCGCAAGTATTTCCTTATTGGGTTCGGCTGGTCTTGAAAGATGTCGGGGCTCGGTGACAAGTGAACGCCGACCTGTCGTACCAAGCCTTCCAAGAATCTTAGGTAGCTGACTTTCTCGAACATGTTGAGGGCTGACACGTGTAAGCATCTCTTGATCTGATGTATAAAAGCACGTTCCCGATCGCAATACAGCAGGACCTTCTGTGTCCAGATGGAGTGACATATTGTCTGCCCTCTGACTGACGCCAAGACGCAGTGATCCTGACGGAACCACATTACCGGCATCTAAACAGCTCGCTCGGACACGTGCTGATCTCAAGTCACCCGACAAAGTCGCCATGAGGGACGCGTCTCTTTTGGTAGCTATCTGCTGCAACCTTCTCGCGCATCTCGTATTCCGTCAATTTTTACTGCCCATAAGCAACTGGGATGCTTGCGAGACGATTATGTACTGCAGGAACAGCCAGTAGGTTAGGCATAACGCGCATACGTAATAGAAACAGAAAGGAGTGGGACCAATCAACAGCCTGTGTTCTTCGCCTCATATACGAATAGACGGATTTGGTCCAATGACGCCCGAAGGATCGAAGAATGTAGGCACCGCTAGTCTAGGCAGCAAGATTCGCTGTTTCCTCTCGTCCTTCGAGTCTTTCGTTAAATAGTACAGTCGACAATGAGTACAACATGGAGCCGCAATTGGCCAAGACAACTGACGATTCGATACGGAGCGACCGCACTTCTTTGCACATTGTGCTTGGTGCTAGTTTTGCGCATAAATGCCGGTCCCAAAACCCTTGGACTCAAACCAGGGCTTCGCAAGCTTGTGGAAAGCCGCAATGATGCCAAAGAGTTCGGTGCAGAACATGCACCTCTTGACATAGGGATTGTCATGGCAAAGACTCGACCTGAAAATGTCAATTGGCTACTGGAACTTCATCAGAACTTGCCATTTCGGCCTTTCATCTACTCTGTAGATTCGTCTGTCGAGCCTGGTTGTCTGGCCCCACGCTCAAGAAGAGGCAGAGAAACTGCAGCGTATCTGTCTTACATAATCGACAACTATGATTCATTACCAGAATATTCTATATTCATCCACGCCAAAGATGAGCAATGGCACAACGATGTTCTTGGACAAAAGGCACCCGATACGATCAAGGCCCTTCGCTTTCAACACATCAACGCCACTGGTTTCGTCAACCTACGCTGCACATTGTTTCCTGGATGTCCACTCGGGCTAAACCCTCTGGATCCTACTGAGCAGGATATCCGCAACAAAGATACGAGAGCTTTCTTCGCCGATATATACATGGAGCTTTTCGACGTCACGCGCGAGAAGGTACCAAAGCATATTGGCAATGTCTGCTGTGCACAATTTGCTGTCACCAGATCTCGCATCGTGCGGCGGCCAAAGTCAGATTACGAGAGGATGCTCAGATGGACTGAGCTGACTCAACAAGCTGACTTTGCAGTGGGCTGGGTGTTTGAGAAGCTGTGGGATATCATTTTTGGAATGGACGCTATAAAGTGAGACCACACTTTCAGGATGCTCTTAGTCATTACTAACGTGTGATATTTCAGTTGTCCTGACTATGAGCAGTGTCGCTGTGATTTATATGGATGGTGCGGACCCTTATCATCAGGGAAAGTTCTGATACCTAACTTTACTTGAGAGGCCAAACCATAATGGCATCAACTCCTACATGCCCTCTGAGATAGACTCTAAACGCATCGAGGAGAAGCCTGTTCTCATCGTGGCGTCCATCGCTACAGGAGCTCTTGGAAGGAACTCGTCGGGGCTGTTGCTACCATCACTTGTACCTTCTCTGAAGGACGAGGCATTAAGTTAGAGAGTCTGCCAGTGATACATCAGTGACAATGAAACTAGCTTCATCATCTAATAAATCACTTTTGTCCACCATCTTATATGCAATGTCGTCCAGATATGGTGACGAAGACGGAAGGTGCACCCGAGGTTTCGTGGGGCTCGGAAAGCATATTCCCGAGCCGATCGATATCAACCATGATCTTATCACTTGACCATTATCTGCGACATCATCTTCTGAACTCATGTCACCTTGATATTCTTATTTCTTCTACTCTCTGGACCAGCTCATCATGGGTATCACTGAAGGATGGAAGGACAAAATGGCTTGGCCGCGACTGGTCGCGTTCATGGTTATCGTGTTTGTTCTTCTCACCACTGTGAGCTCCGTGATGAAGAGAAAAGAAGCGCTTGATCTTCCAGCCAACGGTCATCCTGGAAATGAGAGGCCACACGAAGATGTAGCGGTCAACACATGGTGTCCGGTACCAGAATTGCCGACTCCATTACAAGACGGCTTGGTCCAGTTGGCCGACTTTGGAAACAACAAGGACTTGATAAAGCAGCAGGTTGAACGCCTCAGTGCTGCTGTCAATATTCCATCCATCTCGTATGATGACAACGACGATGTGGACAAAGACCCGAGGTGGCATGCCTTTGTCACTCTGCATGAGATTTTGGAAAAACAGTTTCCAAAAGTGTAAGCGGGCATCATAAAGACAACCAGCGTCCTCTGACAATCCAAGCAGANNCACGAGAAAATGAACCTCGAAATAGTGAATAGCTACGGTCTGCTGTATACGCTACCTGGAACTGAAACTAACCTGAGACCGATCGTCATTATGGCTCATCTGGATGTTGTACCGGTACCGGATTCGACGAAATGGAGTCATCCTCCATTTGAAGCATACTTCGACGGACAGTGGCTTTGGGGAAGAGGCACTGTTGACTGCAAAGGTGTTCTCATTGGCGTGTACAGTGCCATGGAACGACTCCTCGAGCAAGACTTCAAGAACAAACGTACTATCATTCTATCATTCGGCTTCGACGAAGAGACTGGTGGTTTTCGAGGTGCCAAATACTTAGCAGCTCATCTGAAAGAGAAGTACGGCGAGAAGAGTGTTGAGATGATTGTTGATGAAGGCGGCAGCATGACGCCCAAAGTCGATGGCGTGACCTATGCATTGCCAGCGATTGCAGAAAAGGGCTTCCTCGATATCGTCTTAACTCTCAACACTCCAGGCGGCCACAGCGCTGCACCGCCCAAAAACACAAACATAGGCATCATGTCACGCCTCCTTGCAGCAGTGGAAGACCATCCGTTTACTCCTCACATCGATGAGCGCAACCCCGTCTGGAACTACCTGAAATGTGAAGTTGAAAACTCTCCCAAAACAGTAGAGCCCTGGCTACGGGAAGCGCTAGAGAAGAATGAAGACTTTGCAGATAGACTAATCGAGTCTCGCGGCGGCTATACTCGCTGGTCGATGCAAACATCACAATCGGTAGACATTGTGAACGGCGGCATCAAGGACAATCAGCTGCCAGAAAAGACTGAAGTAGTTATCAACTACCGTGTCCTTCCAACCGACAAGATAGATGGTGTCCTAAAAACAGTCGCCGATGTCATCGCTCCGCTCGCAAACAACTACAGCATCGCAGTTCAAGGACCAGGATACTCTCAGATCGACCGAGGCTTTGGCGTTCTCAATATCTCCTCGATGAACATTCTTGAGCCATCGCCACTCGCCCCAACAGGACCAGACGTAGGAGTCTGGAACACATTCGCAGGCACAATCCGCCAAGTCTTCGAGAGCACAGAAGAGAAGTTGTCAGCANAGAAGGTCGTACCCGTGGGTACGATTTCGGTTGGCAACACAGATACCGCACATTACTGGTCGTTGACTAAGAATATCTATCGCTTTTCGCCATTGTCAGAAGATACAGCGAAAGGTCCGCATACTGTGGATGAGAGAGTTGATATGCAGGCGCATTTGGGTGGTGTCAAGTTTTACTATGAGTTGATTCGGAATATGGATGCCTATACAGGGAGTTAGTTGCACTGTAGTTGGTTTTGAAAACTATGTAGACGACTTGTCTGCTCTTCCTCCAGGTTGGTCGATGTTGATAGTACAACGAGGACGCTTCTATGTTCGTCAACTTCTTCTTGGTTGTGCTTCCCGCTCTGTGTTATTTTAATATGAAAAGTCTTCTCCGTTCCATGTATAGTGGAGCGACAGTCCTCACGTCAAGTTGTATCGAAGATTGCAGTACACACTTCTGCAACACTTTGTTTCTCAAATGTTGATCACGAGCGAGACAATGCTTTAGAAGGAGTGCCCCCAACATTCGCTCCTTCTTTGCCTCCATTCTTCAAAGCTTTCTGCACGCTCGCTCCTTCCTTCCCAAGACGGTCTGCTGTTTCTTGGTTAGTCTTAATCGAGTCACTTGGAGAAGGCAAGAGCAGAATGGAACAACATTTTTGGTAGATGAATCATCTGTATTTTTTTTTGTGCTTTTCTAAGTTTTCTTGGTTTTCTTGGAGACTCCCTTCCCTCGCTGTCGTGATATGTCTTGGATCTCCTTTTTGACTGAGCTCTTCTTCGACTTCTTGCTTAATGTCTTTGTTCATTCTCTCCTATCTGAAATCTGCTTTTTCGTGAACACAGCAGTATTGTGAGATGGTCATCTCCTCGTTGCGGTCCATAAATTTTCGGTTGTTCGCTGTGTCCTCTTATTCGTAAGTAGCCTTGACTGTACCGTAGACGATACCGTTGACTCTCAAGTCGAATACCAGCCCGCCGCTGTCAATCTGCATACCAATCTCGAAGTCGAGTTGGCGGTATACATTGCCATTCTTGGTCTTCTTCCTGAAACTTCTGCGAGGAACCTTGCGGAGGTTCGCGTCGAGCGTGCAAAGCTCATGGACACCTGCCGCAAGCTTGAACTCTTGGGGTGCGACTTTCTCGTCGCTGACCATGATCTTGATAGTATAGCTATCAGGGATACCATTCTCCCATTCCCATTTCAACTCGAAAGGGAGGGTGATGGGCGATCTGGTCGGCATATCCTGACCTACTTTGACATGCCATGACATCTGGTCTCTTGCCATGATCTCTTGCGTAAGATTGTCTACGTATCTGACCGAGCGTGAGTGCTTCAAGGCGTTCCAGAACGAATTGCACACAATGCCATAGTGGCGTCTTGCCTTTCTGCTCAAGACGAGTTTGTCCTCCAGATTGGACAAGACTGCACCCCTCACAACTGCTGTCCAAGAGTTCTCGGGTTGCATGACAATGAATCTGGGTCCCTCGGATTCAGGCTGTGGAACATCTGTTGTTCGTGTGTACGTCGGCGGAGGATCCTCGTCGGCAAAGCGTTGCTTCAAGCTTTTGTAAAGAAAATGACTCTCTCCAAATCCCCCGACTAGTGCTACACCCTTAGCTGTCTTGTCATGCGCTGCGAGTGTGATGCGCTGTCTTTCAACGAGATCAATGACCGAAGTTATCAATGGTCTAAATATTTCTCCGACCTCTGCTGTCGAGAGGATGAAGAATCCAGAATCAATACCCATGGCAGCATTGTCAGGAGCGCCCGGGAATGGGATGTTGAAGTTGTTGGCATCGTATGTGGATTGACTGCTTAGGGGATCGAAGTTGCGTTTGACGTAGTTCTCAAACTCGTTGAGTGCAACATTCATGCATTTAGGCTTCCGCTCACAGAGGTCCTTGAACGCTTCAGCGCCCATTCGGGACTCCACGAGATTTCGAAACCTCATGTTGAGGAAGATACCGCCACAGAGAGCTCCGGTACCTGTCGCAGACTCCTGGAGGCGAAGGGGCGACAAGGAGCGAATTTCGTAACTATAGAGGATCTCGTTAGTAAACTGTATGCAAGACTTCCCAATAAACAGAGACTTGCCTGATNNGAGATCAACAGTACCACCACCAGCATCACAGACAATGAAATTGTCTCCAACCTTGAGTAGCTTCTGCTTTTGACCCATAGACTTCAATGCATAGATGGCGGCGGCTTCAGGTTCGCTGATCATGTAGAGTTCGGGCCCCATTCCAGCTTTCTCAGCCGCTCTTAGTGTGGCATCTTTTGCAGCGTCGGTCCAGACCGCCGGAACGGTCAGAACGACTTCGATGATCGTTGATGATACCATGTCTGGGGTGAAGCGCTTGACCAAAGCCTCCTTGGCCCGGCGATATAGCTCGGTGAGATAGTCGGAGATGGCTTCTTCAGCAGTCTTGCCGCTCTTCTTGAGCTCCTTGCACAGCTCATCCTCGGAAACATAATCCGGGAGTTTCTGTTTCGGATCAAGTCGAAGTTTCAGGCAACGCAAGCGGGTCTCGTCAGGCTTGATCTCAAGGCCCCAACGGATCTTAGTGTTGTTGATAGCTTCGCCGTCCCAGCTACGCTTGATGCCTGAGGTCGGCGGAGTAGTCTCGTAGATAATCTCAGAAGGCACTTTGTCAGATGTGATGCCGTTAGATCCGGGCCAGCTANNGGGAATATTAGTGGATCTGTTCAAAAGCTAATTGAGCACAATGCCTCACTTCTTGACGACTTGGATCTCGTCTGCAGATTCGGGATCGCCGCTGTAAGCTAGTGCGCAGCCAGAGAACGTGGTACCAAAATCAATGCCGACAATTAGTCGATCGCGACCTTTTGAAGGTGCCATGATGTTGGAAGAGTGTGGTGTGAATGTGTAATGTAGAGTGGGGAAGGAGAATGCAGAAAGAAGTTTGGAAGAAAAGAATGTACAATGTGGATGACGGGGAGAGAATGAAGTTCTATGGCTGGAGTTGTGGTAGAGGTCCGAGGAGTGAAATATAGTGAGCTTGGCAAGGTCGAGTGAGGTAAACTTTGCAGATTCAGATAGTGCTCCGAGTCAGATGCTAAGTGAACGAGGTGACGCTGTTTCTGATCAGCGTGGACGAGCTAAGAGGATCAGTGAAGGTCAGGTTGTACCTGATTTAGGCAGCTTCGACCCTTCCAAGTACGGCGATATCTCACTCTCCTCTTTCTTTCTTACAATATAATCGTATCTCTTCTCCGGTCTTCTCTTACCATCAACAACTCTCTGGCAACTACTAGGAAGCCAATATGCCTCCTATAACAAGGTAGCTCGTGATCCTTGGCTTTCAGTACAGCAGACCTGACCCGCAAACAGGAATCAAACTGCAGCTGACTATCAGAGACAACTTGAAACCCACAAGAGAGAACTAGAGTGGGCCGACACAGAGCGAGAGCAAGCTCTGGATCAATGCGAAACCTACGAGAGGCAGATCTTCTTCCTTGAACAAGGTCAAGCTAGGCTTAGAGAGGATCGAGCCCGTCTTCAAACCCATGCTCAGTCAGCTGTGGAAAAGTATGCTGAGCTGTCGAAGCAGTACAAGCAATTCAGGGACACAACTGGCACGTCCGGCGCTCAAATTCAAAGAAAAAATGACGAAATCGCAAAGCTGCAGGAAGAGATTCAAAAGTACAAGGCGACGATAACCAACTCGACTCGACTCCATGGACAGATCACTGACACTAAGATCCAAACGATGATGAATGATCTCTTCTCTGCTGTGCGCAACTGGGCCCTAGAAGTGGCGCGTCGCGATAAACCTGGTAAGTCTCGTGTCTAACATCGCGACCTGTCTTACCTCGGTCGACTAATTCCATCGGAGTGTTCAACCCGTCAGAACAGGGAGCCGCAGATTGGCTTCACAAGCAAGTTCCTGGTTTCCAAGGCGATACATCTACCGGAAAGGCGTACACCCTAATTGCTGTATTTGCCGGCGCTTTCGTGGAGCTGGTGAACGAAAAATGGATTTGCGGTCATGCCTCTGAAGGACCATTGAAGTTGGCCAAAGATCTCTACAACTCTATCCCATGTCAGTAGATTCTTGTTGCGAGGATTTCTAAGCTGACTCCATACGTTTGCAGACGATTCCGTGGCTGCTCAGCAAAAGAAAGCTCAATGGGTTATTCTCACCAAAGACCTTCTCCAGAACGAACAGAGTGTCAACGAACGAGTGGAACCCCAGCTTCTTCTGACCCTTGTCAAGAATGTGCAGCAAGCCTTAGGCACAATGAGCAGCACTCTCAACACTCAGACCATCACTGGCGAGCTGAGAGCAGCAATCGAACCACACATCAGCTTCATTCAAGCCTTGTACCAGCAAGAAGCAGAATACTCGTTGAAGCTGGAAGAGGCAGTGGTTGGAGACACACTCCGGAAGATCAATCTAAGCTACATGGATGAAGTGAGTGGAGAAGACGAAGGAGAGGTTTCGGCTTGTGTCTTCCCAATGCTGGTCAAAAAGACATTTGAAAATGATGTCAAGGTATGGAACTCTGACAATCTCCGGTATGTTCTTGCTGACATGTCGAAGGGCGAATTGGTCATCGTTTGCAAGATGAAAGTCCTTGCGTTGTCTTAAACACAGCCATTCTAGCTGCAACTCTTGATAAGAGATTTAGCAAGGCAAAGATCATGATGTATATTACGATTATCAAGGAAAGAGCATTGCTCCCTCAGAAGCAGCAGAGGTCGAAGCCACGAGGCTTGGCGGGGAGACCCCTCCCTTCTCTCAAGAAGTCCACGAAGAAAGACCATTCAGATAGCAATCCCAAGCTCATCAATGAGCATCATGAAAGAACTTCTGCATTTTGAAAACATGATCCATATATAATATTGCAACCTCCGAGATATGATGTCTAACCTTGCCCATATTCAAACACCCTACAAAAATGCGCTCGTTGCTATGTGTGTACAACCAGAACAAAAAGAAATATACAAAAAAACTCCAAAGACTCCTCATGGCTCGTAAAGACTATCGCCATCATCTTCATCTTGGTCGAAAGACTCATTCTCGTCTTGGATCCATTCACTGGCAGAGAAGCTGGACTGTGAGTTTAGCTGCGACATATCGCTGACATCTCCATCTTCGTCAAGACCAGCCCATTCGTGCTCACTGTCAGCGCGGCCAGAACCTACAGATTCGATTTCGGTGTCGCCTCCATCTGCCATGGCGAGATCGACGACGTTGGCGACATTGTGGCTGTGTGGTGTTGCGTATGCGGTGGGTGTGCTGAGTCTCTTTCTGCTGGACCCTGGTCTGCAGTGACTGCGAGTTTCCCAAGCACTCTCCATCATGGGTGTCGGCGGTTCATGTGACCATCTTGGTGTCAGTTCTTCAAGCCCTCCTCGGTATCTGCTGGGAGAGCCAGATGTGCGACGACGCTTCTGGTAAGCGATCGGTGTACATGATGGACTCTCACGACGTCGGGACTGAGAAGCTCTTTTTGTAATGATGGGGAAAGATTCTGAGAAACGAGGGGTGATGGTGTCCCCAGAAGAGTTTGAGGTGAAGGATTTGGCTGATGGGCTATCAATCTCTGGATCTTCGAAGGTGACGCCAGAGATACGACGTTTACCGAGAGAAGTGTTGCTGCATCTCGATATAAAGGACGCGAAGGTGGGCGCATCGTCTAGCGCTGCCATGTGTGCCCAAAAAGGCTCTGAGGGTGCTTCGCTGCCGAACAGTAGACCGGACCTGGCCATAGCATTCTCATAGCGTGGTAAATCACGGATCTGCTGCCATGTCCAACCAGTCTTTCCTGGCTGGATGTAGCCATCGGCAGTGGTCATATAGAGACGTTTGCGGCCACCTTTGCCATTCATGAATACACCAGAATCCAGAAAAGAGATGTCCCACGTAGCAGGCGTGATCAACTCATGTGGCTCAAGGTATCGGAGCCATGAAGACTTCTTGACCTTTCGAAGCGGCACAAATGCTTCTCTGAGTGCTTCGTATGGTTGTTGTTGGTTGTTTGTACGGTAGAATGGCTGCGTTTCGACAAAGTCTGCGAAAGCGTCCTTGATAGACTCCCAGATACCATGTGCGCCAGTGTCGTCAATGCTGACGTTACGAATGAGCCCTCGACTTTGAAGACGTTTGAACAAGTTGCTGTTCGGGCCCGGTGCTTTTGGCCAGAGCCATGGGTTGATGGTGTTCGCCCAGGCTTCGATGGTATCCGCGGTCCAAGCAGGTCCTTTGTTTCCGGTCGGGCCAAGCAAGCTGTCAGATGATCCAGAGTCGCACTGGGCTGCAGGCGTACTGGGACATACGTTTGGGTCGGAGTCAGTCGACTCATGCCAGACCCCTTTCAACGTCCGGCCGAACGGGAGAAGGACAATTTCAATTTCCCATGGATTAGCGTATGAAGGATGCGCGCTCTCCAAATCTGCCAATCTATCCTCGACATCAGACACGCGCGAGAGCAGTGCTTTGCTACCAGCGTGAGTTTGAAGGTCCTGGAAAGAATTCGATGCTTGCGCGTCTTTGTCATCGAGAGCCAGTCTGGATCTCTCAAGGCGAGCGTCGATGTCTCTTTTCCAGTACTCCATTTCCAGCAGACGGCCATCGAGAAGCTCAAACTTTTCGTGTACTTCATCGAGGGGTACGTGCGAGAAGGAGTAAGTCTCGAGTGTTTCTAGACGCCGCACACAGCTCTGAAGTATGTTTTGCACGTCGAGAGTCACGGTTTTGGTTGGTGTGCTTGGTGCTTCCTGTGATTTGCTGTCGACAAACTTTGTGACCTCTAGGCATGGTTTGGTGTCTACAACTTCGCATGTTTCGTCATTGGAGTCAGCAGGCTTCGCGGGCTGATGGTGAATCGAATGAGTGTCTCCTTGATCATGCTGAGCATCGGAAGGCACATCGGCTCGTAGTGAATCAGGCACATAATCAGCAGTGGGTGTACCTTGCACGGTAGGGCTGGCCATCAAGCCATCCATGTTTGGGAAGAGTGACGCATATGGCCGTTCGTTGGACGTTGAACTCTTCACTGGTGATGGCGTTTGCCGCGGCTCTGGTTGCGGTTCGTATGAGAGAACACTGGCGGGTGCAGTAGACGGGATCCAGGTTGGATCTTGTTGCCATCGCGCAAAGTTGTTCAAGCGTCCCCAGACATCGTTGGACAGGGGTGCAACTCGTGTTGGATCTATCCGATCATGTCTGGTATCATCTTGCGGAGGAATGATGGGTGTTTGGATGCGAGGACCGATTTGCAGAGTGGTGGTATAGGCGGTGTGATGATCTGACGGTACAGAGGGGGCGCTGCTGTGTCGCATCAAGTTGGAAGATGGAGTGGGTTCGACTGTAACGTCGTGGAAACAGGCGTGGTAGNNGCCGCAGGCGCAGAGTACGGAAGATGCATTCTGACTATCTAGGGGCTTGTCGAGCCAGAATCTACGACAGCCACAGGTTGCGGTACTCGAACCGCTACGGAGTGATCGAAAATTACAGTTTCCGTTGGGTAGAGACGCGTAAGAAGTGGTCGTGTTTGCTGTGTTTACAGCGTTGTGCCACGGTGAAGCCTCCATGTGCTTTCAACAAAGCATGATCTGGAGATACGAGGAGATTGGGCTGGGATTGTTGGTTTTAGTAGGCTATGCGACTGATGTGGTGCATTCATTGACGTGACGAGAGCGGGCCGGCGTAGAGGAGAGAGCATTCGGTGTGTAGACAACAAAGAGGATTGAGGAGTCGGATGCGCATCCCACGCGCCCGGGATGCATCGACTCCACCTTTGGACGGCCCGTAGCGCAGAACGCAGACGCCGAAACGCTGTTCTCCTTGGTCTGTCTCATGCCCCGGGATAACATGGTGTAGAGGTGGATGGATATCAAGTGTATGTGCGAGACTCTGCTCTCATGGTCTGCAGAGGTATGAGAGCTATGTGGTACTTACCCTCTTACCGCGTGCTTCATCGTGCTGCTTGGTCAGAGCATACGAGCTCATCAGCTGTGAGACCACCAAGAGCTGGCAGTCTCACTTAGAAGGCGGTATCAAAGAGTATGCCATGTCTAACATGCTTTGAGTGAGCCTTCAGAGAGACTTGGTGTCAGGTTGTGTGGTGCTTCAACTTGAGGGTTGGTTTAGGGCTCTCGAATCAGGCTTGGTGGTCATAGCGCCTCGTCGAAGTTGTATCTAACTGACGTTTCCCACGGTCTCCATCAACGCGCTCTACATACTCCGAGTCGAGTCTTGACAATCTTTCCGTGGCGTAGCAATCAACCGACTCGAACTCGTCGCGTCGTCGATTGATTAACGAGAGTGCAGATTCTACAAGAATGTAAGACTCTTTCCCGGCGCATTCGAGGTTGACGATAGCACGCGTCGCAACCCGGACATAGTCCGTAGAGACAGAAAGGTGTATACTGACTGCCACAGTTCTGCCGCCTGCCTCGGGCGCAATCCGCCTGCATGGACGACCAGATGTCCAGCTACCCTGAGCCCGACAGCCAGCAGCACTACACTCTCTACCCACCTCCGGGCCAGCAACAATTGTTGGACCCTGTCCAGCAGGAGCAATTGCAATTCAGCCAACTCGGTCAGCTTGGTCAGGCCATCTATCCCAAGGCCGAGGGCGAGGTCGACCCGAATGCGCCAAACCACATCGAACAGCGCATCGAGCAGTTGCAGCAGCAACCACCACACCCTCAGCCTCAACACCAGCACCAACATCAGCACCCTCTGCAACAACACGACCAGCACCACGACCAACATCAACAAGCCCCTCTGGGTCCACCTCCACCACCGCCAACTGCGCAACCCCAAGGTCCTCCAGTCCAAGGAGAGACCNCTCAAAAGGCCAATCGTCTGCGCAAGGCATGCGACTCGTGCAGTATCCGCAAGGTCAAGGTACATGACATCTGTTGCGCCAAATATCTCCTCTGATCTCTCTACTAATGTCGTATCGCAGNNTGTGACGAGTCTGGTCCGCCGTGTCGAGCATGCGCTGCTCTAGAGATCCCCTGCACATTCGAACGTCCCAGCCGCCGCCGCGGTCCTCCAAACCGGCATGCAGAGGCAATCAAGCGCCGCCGTCTTGAAGAGTCACCACACATCAGCGGCCAGTCGACACCCTCTTCACCTACTCACGCCGCCCAAGCTCTAGCAGCTCTGTCTTCTCACCCTTCTCATCCTCCCATCTCGGCTGAATCCATTTGCGACTTCCAGACGTTGGATCTCCTCGTCAACGACTTCTTCACCTACATCCACCCATTGTGCCCATTCCCACACGAGCCAAGCTTCCGCGAAGCTTGGAAGAGAAGAGAAGACTACAACAACCGTGCTTTCCTGGCCCTGCTGTCATCCATGGTTGCTGCCCTTGTAGCTTCCTTCCCACGAAAGCCCAGACTGCATCTCAAGGCACAACGTAGAGAGCTCGAGTTCCCTAACCACATGGCACTTGTCTTGAAGTGTCAAAAGGTTTGCGCCGATGCTCGTGGACCAGGCTACCTCGATAGTGAGAACTTGAGTGTTCATGATGCTGCGACCAGCTACTTCCTTGGTCTCTCGGCTTGCTACACATTCAGATGGCGTCAATGCCGTTTGTACTGGAGTGAGTGTCTGACCATCATCAGAGCTCTCGGCCTACACAAGCCGACTGAGCAGAACTTTACGCGGTTGGGAATGTTGCCAGCAGCTGTGGGCTCAAACGGGCCGAATGTTGAGGGTAATCGCGACGACGTTCTCGACAACATCACCCTCGAGATGGGCAGAAGAATTTTCTGGACAATGTTTGTGAGCTCAAAGACGATTCACCAGTGCGGTTCTGCCTTTAGCGAACTCGTCATTCCGCCCGAAACTCCATCCATGCCTTACCCTCCGCTTCCTGTCGAGGTCGACGACTTCTGCATCTTCCCTGGGCACATTGAGCCGCAGCCGCCAGGCCTTGTTCCCATGATTGCTGGCTTCAATGCTAATGTCAGAATCTTCATGTCTTACAGCCCTCTTTCTACCATGGAATTGGCTTGGGGTGTTGATGCCTTGGTCGACATCGATCGCCAGAAGAAGGTCCTCCATGACTCACTGGAGCGATGCAAATCAGCTATCAGAGAGCTACCGCCTGTGCTTGTCATCTGGCCGACTGACAACAATCCTTTCGCTAACCACAATGGAAACGAGCTCGGACTTGACTTCTCAAACACATCATATGCACGCGACCCAGCAACTCTGAATCCGAATACAGTGGACGCCACGCCTGAGGATCGCAGAAGACGTCAATACGAGATCCAGAAGGCGAACATTCACGGCAGCGGTCTCTGCACGAGGTCCTACATCGTCGAAAAGTACTTCACTCTGATCGAGGCGCAAGCTCGAAGCAAGCTTCAGGCGGAGAACGCCGAGTCTGGTCTGTCGAGCGAAGTCGCTGCAGAACTTGATGGACTGCTCTCGGATGGAGCTTCTGCTGATGCACTGGACCGTGAGATGTCGGAAGAGCGCGAGGGTATCGTCAGGGACTTGCTCTCTGTTCTGAGCAGTATCGACAGGGTGAACATGGAGCCAAACGCGGACAGTCNNTTGTGAGTAGAATGGTCAAGATGATGATGTTCAGAATGTGGCTAACTCGTGTTGCAGACAACAAAGATTCGTGTAGTGGCAAGCACCCTTCTCGAGGTGCCCAGGTCTCGCAAGGGCCAAGTCGCGCAGCAAGCCGAGGAATATCTTGCGGCATTCCTTGAAATTCTGGTCAAGCTAGAGCGTGTGAACCCTGGACATGACGACCCTCATAACCCCAACGACGAGGAAACCGAGTTGCGACACTGGGCGGACCTTCGTGAGTATCAACTCAAGTTCGTACAACAAGGCGGACTGTCCAGCCTTAATTGACTAGCAGCAAACATTGTTCAGGAGTGAGGCGTTTCATGGCAAGGGGAGCAAGGTGTACAAGGAGCTTGTGGCTTGATGGATAGGCAATGAAGCCGGGATGGCTTCATATCAAAAGCTTGCATGCTGTGTATTATACGATAACCCCAATAATAGCTCGACATATATTTTTACTCGTATTGTTTCTCCTGACGGATTGTTGTGGTTGCTTGTGATAATGCTCCTTCCTCTCAGGGGTATACCGGGCTTGGCGCTGGCCAGACCCCCGAAGAGCAATGGTGGCACTTTGTTTTCTACTTGCAGACCAAACATCAAATCGGACGTCGATCGGACTTGGAAGACCCCAAAGCACGGAGCAAGAGGAGGGATAATAACAAGACAACTCCAGTGTCTACTCGCGACAGCTTTGGAGGAGGATCTGGTGACGAGACGCAGGAGTGGCTTGGGACCACGTAGCTTTGTCTACAGCTTCGACTGAACAAGATCGCAACCACTTTCGTTAATCATGGAGTTTTCTTTGACTGGATCACCGGCGACAACACCACTGGCAACACCAGGCGGCTCCAACCCAAGACAGAAGGAACAGAGATTTCGACCACCAGTCGCACCGAGTCCCTACGCCGAATACCAACAAAGCGGCTCAGAAGCGGGTTACTTCCCTATCCAACCCCAGCAACCAGCCCCACCACAACAACAGCCAGCGAGTATGGATGGTCTTTCAAATCAAATGGGTGCAATGGGTCTGGGAGGCCAGCCTCCTGCTCCTGCTGCACCAAGCTCGCGACCACATAAGAAGAAGGACAGACATGCATACCATCGCATCGAAACACCGGCCGCCGCCCAACCTCTACCAGCTGCAGTACCAGGAACTACATCGTCGCAGTTCTACAACACTCAGAATGCTCCCATGCCCGGAACAGCCGCCCCGTACATGTCCCAGCAGATCACACCCGCCATGTCGCAGTTCCCCGCCGCAGCATCCACCTTCACGCCTGCCAACCCCGCAACGCCCATGGAGCATGCTGCTCGTCAAGGCGACCAACTCTTGTCAGCTCCCGCCTCTTCTCAGTCGGGTCGCGTTGACCCGGATCAGATACCCAGTGTGCCGAGGTCACGCGACATTCCCGCTCGTCATTACCAGGAGCGCATCTACCCTACCATGGAGCAACACCTCCCGCCACCTGCCGTTGTTCCTTTTGTCGCTTTCGACCAAGGAAACAGTTCCCCCAAGTTTGCTCGTCTCACCTTGAATAACATTCCGACCTCGAACGAAGCTCTTCAAACTACCGGTCTTCCTCTTGGTCTTGTTCTGCAACCATTGGCTCCCCTGCAGGACGGTGAGCAGCCTGTACCTGTTCTCGACTTTGGAGATGTGGGCCCGCCACGCTGCAGACGTTGCAGAACCTACATCAACCCCTTTATGACTTTCCGTTCTGGTGGGAACAAGTTTGTCTGCAACCTGTGCACTCATCCTAATGATGTCCCCTCCGAGTACTTTGCTCCTACTGATCCGACAGGCATCAGAGTCGATCGTTCGCAAAGACCTGAGCTGATGCTGGGTACTGTTGACTTCCTCGTTCCCAAAGAGTACTGGACCAGAGACCCTGTTCCTCTCCAATGGCTTTTCGTGATTGATGTCAGTCTAGAGGCATCTAGCAGGGGTTTCCTTGACGCCGTGTGCAAGGGTATTTTACATGCACTCTACGCCGAGGACGGTACAAGCAATGTTCCTGCAGGTGTCAAGGTTGGTATTGTAACATTTGACCGAGAAGTGCATTTCTACAATTTGACTCCGGGTCTTGAGCAAGCTCAGATGATCGTTATGCCTGATATTGAGGATCCGTTCGTGCCTTTGAGCCAAGGCCTGTTTGTGGATCCCCAAGCATCCAAGGCTGCCATCACATCTCTTCTTGGCCGGATACCGGATATGTTCTCCTCAGTGAAAAGTCCGGAGCCCGCGTTACTCCCGGCTATCAATGCTGCTTTGGCTGCACTGACTTCTACTGGAGGCAAGATTGTATGCTCAGTGTCGAGTCTTCCCACGTTTGGTCCTGGACGTCTTTTCCCTCGCGACAAGAATGAAGGCCGTGACACAGACGCCGAAAAGAAGCTCTATACTACTGAGCATCCTGGTTGGAGAGGTACGGCTTCGAAGATGGTTGAAGCAGGCGTTGGCATTGATTTCTTCATGGCCGCCCCCAGTGGAGGCTATCTCGACATTGCGACCATCGGACACTGCTGTGCAGTATCCGGAGGCGAGACATACTACTATCCCAACTTCCACAGCCCACGAGACGACTTGCGACTGGCAAAAGAACTTAAACACACAGTCACACGTGAAACAGGTTTCCAGGCCCTCATGAAGGTTCGCTGCTCGAATGGTCTGCAGCTCTCTTCGTACCACGGTAACTTCACTCAGCATACATTTGGTGCTGATCTGGAGTTTGGTGCAATCGATGCAGACAAAGCGATTACTGTCATGTTCAGTTACGACGGCAAGTTGGACGCGAAGCTGGACGCGCACTTCCAGAGTGCGCTTCTATACACGACTGCGACAGGTGAACGTAGAGTTCGCTGTACCAACACTGTCGCAAGCGTGAGCGAAAGCGCCCTTGAGGCCATGAAGTTTGTCGATCAAGATGCGGTGGTCAGTGTGATCTCCAAGGAGGCAGCATCAAGAGTCTCGGAAAGGACTTTGACGGAGATCCGCAACTCCTTGAGCGAAAAGACGATCGACATACTCGCTGGCTACCGCAAGAACTTCTCTGGCTCGCATCCACCTGGCCAACTTGTCTTGCCTGAGAATCTCAAGGAGTTGAGTATGTACATGCTAGGACTGATCAAGTCACGAGCCTTCAAAGGTGGTCGCGAGCCTAGCGATCGTAGAGTCCATGACATGCGCTTGATAAGATCGATGGGACCTATGGAGCTGTCATTGTATCTGTACCCACGCATCATCGGCATCCACAACCTGGAGCAGACAGACGGTTTTGCGGACGAGAACGGTCGTCTTCTCATGCCGACTGCTATCAGAGCATCGTTCGGACAGATCGAAGAAGGCGGAGCATACATCGTCGACAACGGACAGGTCTGTCTGCTCTGGCTGCACTCCCAAGTGTCTCCCAATCTGCTTGAGGATCTGTTTGGCGAAGGTTACAACGAACTCAAGCATCTGGATCCGTTCAGTTCTAGCTTGCCTGTGCTTGAGACACATCTCAATGCTCAAGTGCGTAACATTTTGCAGTACATGGAAACCACGAGAGGTTCCAAGGCGATGACTATCCAACTGGCGAGACAGGGATTAGATGGTGCAGAGTACGAGTTTGCTCGTTTGCTGTATGAGGACCGCAATGGCGAAGCTCAGAGCTATGTCGACTGGCTGGTGCATGTGCACAGGCAAATCCAGATGGAGGTACGTTGCGAGATGAAAACCAATATTGACGTACATCGACTAACAACTTATGCAGNNCTCGCCGGTCAACGTAAGAAGGATGACGGTGATGGAGCAGGCATCAGCAGCACAGTGGCGTCCACATTTGCTGGACTGAGAGCTCCGTACTTTTAATTGGAGGGATGAAGATATGATTAATTTAGGATGTGACAGCGTTAAAGCGAGGGACTGGTTTATGAGCTTGGTGCCCGGCTACAGCAAAACGGTATGGTTCCTTATCCAAACTTCAAGAGACTTTCCAATGGCGGACTGGATGAATACACAGTGTTTTGTCACCAAGTCGGACTTGTCTACAGTGACACCCTGTCTTGTGATTAAAACGTGTATATCTTGCCGGCATCTCGACGTGAGGTACTCGCAGCTTGTCCATATATCATCTTAGCTTGGATGAATATCGCAAATGAATAGCTATCACCTTACTGTTCCATGTCGTTGTCGTGATCACAAAATTATACTTCAGAACTTGCTGGTGTCAACAATATATGGCAAAGGATCAGCATAGAGAGATCTCGTTGACGAAATATATTCCATATTGCATTTTTCGGTCAACCAAAATAGTTTGTAGATACCCAACGAACATCGTGCCTTAATATCGTCTATTGAGAGGTACTGTCTTCGAGAAAGTGGAATGTTGCGATAAGAAGGCAGTGACGCTCCTCGCATCGAACTTGCCCGAAAAGGCGTTATCGGAGTTTGGGGGCTTTGCCAGCTGGTCTCATTCTGGAATCCCAAAAGTTGCACGACTTCGACCTGTCCTTTGCACAGCATTTCCAATTGTCTGGACAGTTGGTACGGACGGCAAATATGTTGTTCAAACTTGCATGGCTTTTGCTGTGTGTGCTGCCGCTTGTAGCACTCTGCGCAGAGGATTACTACAAGGTAGTTATACAGGAGACCGTATGTGTTTTGAATCAGTGCTGACGTGGTATGCACAGCNTACTCGGCATTGAGAAGGATGCGTCAGAACGCGAGCTCAAGAAGGCATACCGAACGCTGAGCAAGAAATACCACCCTGACAAGAACCCGTCCGTCGCATCCTGCCTCCCTGCCACAACCCCCTGGCCTCGAAACACCCAACTGACTAACAACACAATACAGTNNGGTGACGAAACGGTCCAAAAGAAGTTTGTCGAAATCGCCGAAGCCTACGAAGCCCTCTCCGAGCCCGAAACACGCAAAATATACGATCAGTACGGTTACGAAGGCCTCAAACAACACAAGGAAGGAGGCCACCGTCAAGGAGGCAACCCCTTTGATCTCTTCTCTCGCTTCTTTGGTGGTGGCGGTCACTTTGGCCATGCTCCCGGTCAACGCAGAGGCCCTAACATGGAAGTGCGTGTCGCCGTACCCCTTCGCGACTTCTACAACGGTGCCGAACACGACATCGCATTGGAGAAACAGGCCATCTGTTCGAAATGCGAGGGATCAGGCTCTGAAGATGGCAAGACAGATACCTGCAACAAGTGCAAGGGCCATGGCATGGTTATCCAGAAGGCACAACTCGCACCGGGCATCTTCCAGCAAATGCAAATGCAATGCGACCACTGCGGCGGAAAGGGCACAACCATCCAACACAAATGCAAGACCTGCGGCGGCTCCCGTCACGTCAGGGAGGTCGAGACCTTCACCGTGAACATTGAAAAGGGCATGCCCAAGGGCGCAAGGATCAACTACGAAAACGAAGGAGACGAAAGTCCGGATTACATTGCTGGCGACCTTATCGTGCAAGTCGTGGAAAAAGAGCCGGAGTTGGGCAAGGGAGACGAAAAGCACGATCGTACGGATGGCACTTTCTTCCGTCGCAAGGGCAATGATTTGTTCTGGCGTGAAGTCTTGAGTCTACGGGAGGCATGGCTCGGCGACTGGACTCGCAATCTCACACACCTGGACGGCCACACTGTTCAACTCTCACGCAAGCGCGGTCAAGTCGTTCAACCAAACGCGGTCGAGGTTCTTGCAAACGAAGGCATGCCCATCTGGCGCCACGAAGAAGGACCCGAATTTGGAAACCTACATGTCGAGTACACAGTTGTGTTGCCAGACCAGATGGACAAGAACATGGAAAAGGACTTCTGGAACACATGGGACAAGTGGAGGAAGAAGAGTGGAGTTGACTTGCAAAAGGACGCCGGTAGACCCGCTCCTTCTGCTGGATCTGGACATGATGAGCTGTAGAGTGGTCTTGTCTTGCTCCTGTTTTATTCTTGGTCTGCAGTTGCTGCTTGGTACTGATTGATGCAGTATAATACCCCACCTTCCATTTGATTCAATCGCATGGAAATAGAACATCATTTTACGCTTCTTGGAGATTTCTTCTAACCCCTCTACAGTGCCTTGATATGTCTGTTCCATTCAAGCATACATGTTCCCTCGTATGACAATGCGTCGGATACAATCAAAGTTTCGCCTCCTCCTTGAGCTCACCAATCTTTAGCTTGCCTTGATACTTCTTCAACACGCCCTCATTATGGTATTTCCAGAATTGTTTGCTCGCATCTGTTTTTCCCNNCCACCAATATTTGATTAGCATTTCTTTGCCTTTTGAANNCACAAAAAAATAGGGATGATGATGAGATGAGAATTGGAAAAGAGAGAAGAGAGAAACACAACACAACAACACACCTTTTCCACCCACTCTCTTCAAGATTTTGGAGCCACCGGGATGTTCGTCTGCGAATTCGGCCATCGAGTAGACGCCTCGGTCGATGATGATGTAGAGACCTGTCTCGGGGGTTGCGTGGTCTTTTACTTCTTTTGCCGTTATGGATTTGGACATGATTTGTTTGCCGTTCCTTCTTGGGGGGTTTTGGAGAAGATTTGAGGACGATGGATATAGAGGATTCGACTTTTGGGGCCACTGTGAGATTTGGGAGGGGGGTTGGGCTTTGGTTATTGGTATATTTGGAGATTGGGAAGAAGGTGTAATTGGAGAGGTGGTTGGTTGGTGGGGGTCAGAAGGGTTATGGGGGATGTCTCCGCGAAACCGTTGGAGATGCCGAGGTTGGATGGTTTGAAAAGCAGTCGCCGAAAGTTGCCCATTTTTGGCCATATGTGTTCCTGCCTCTATGGAGGAAAGAGTATGGAGATGTAACAAAAGTGAATTGATAGAAACAAGATATATTATCGTCAAGGTCATTACTACACGTACACAAAAAGTTGTTTCTTCGTAAAGAGATGCAGTCAGATTCCGTCCTTCCTGTCATGCATGCGCCCAACACTTTTCATGCAATCCCATGATCCTCATCTTTTTCACTTCTTGGGCTTGCTGGCAGGATCAACTCTGACCTTGGTAGTCGAAGGAGGTTTCGGCACATTGGCAGGCGGCAAACTCGAGCTCGAAACCTTTGGCAAGCCATTCGCAGCAGCAGTGGGTGCTTTGGTAAGTCCACTCACGCCAGGAGGCTTTGGCAATCCATCGACCGGTGCTCTGGGCAATCCACCACTGGTCTTTGGTTTGCTTGCCGCGCTGACCTTGACTTTGCCTGCTGCAGAGCCAGCCAATGGTTTAGAATTGACAGCAGGCAGAGAAGACAATGGCTTCGAGTTCACAGGCGGTAGAGAAGACAAAGGCTTCGAGGTTACAGCAGGTAACCCCGACACGGCAGGTTTGGACACCGAAGGCTTGGGCAAACCGCCAACAGAAGGTATAGGGCTACCTCCAACCACACTCTTTGGTTTTGAAGCTGTGGACACTGCCGTTTTCTTGACTGCGCCGGCGTAGGAAGGCGTGTTTGCTCCCAGTGTCTTTGGCTTGGAGGCAGGAGCGGGAAGTGCTTTTTGTGCTGAGGAGGGAGCGGCAGGCAAGGCTTTTTGCTTGACGACTGCGCCTGCGCCTTTGACGGGTGCAGGGAGGGCTTTCTGTTTTCTGACTGCTGTTGGTGCGGAACCGGCATTTGGTGCTGTTGCTGCGACTGCGCGGTCGCCGTAGCTGTTGATGTAGTCGCCCCATTTGCTGATGCTGCCTTCGATGCCTGTAATATATGTTAGAAAGATAGGGAGAAGTTGGATGGTATGATGCTGTATACCAGTTCCAACAGCTTGTCCACTGCTCTGTATCATAGAGCCTACACCGCCAACGGCATTACCAGCTACATTTCCAGCAGCGGTGATGGCACTGGACGCCATGCCCATGGCCGTGTTTTGAATATAATTTGTGATAAAGCCCGTCATGATTCTGATATATTCACTGATTCAACTCGGAGAAACAAAGAAAGATAGGAGTAGATTCAAGATGATAATGATGAAGCTTTAGAAAATCAGAAGGGCAAAGAGAAAGCAACAAACCCACAAAACGATCGAGACAAGAAAAAGATTCCAGATGCATCTTTCGCCAGCAAAAGAGAGCATCATTGTGCATAAACATCCCTTGCAACTCTTCCCGCAAACCTGGCAGCGAAGGTTGGAAGATCTGGGGGCTTGCGCGACAAGGGCAACGGAACATTTACGTGGGAGGAGAGGGCTAGAAGTGACGTAAAGTGTGGCGCAAACGCTGGAGAGGAGGAGTCGCACGAGTCGCAACGAGATGTCACACGGCAGAGTGAGACAATCGACCGTTGTCGGCCAGCGGTTGGACAGCCGTCAAGGTTACGTAGCGGCTCCCATGTGCAACAACACGCGACTGGACGGCGGCTGGGTGAACTTTGCGCCAAAGAGAGTTGCGACTCGCGAGAGGGCCGACAAGATCTCCTCTCTCCTGGAAATCCTTCAAGAGTGCGATCGCGAATGGACAGAGGAAGCGACTGGTGAAAGTGTGTGTGTGATTCAGAAAACAAAAACGCCTGATACGTGGTATTGATACAGAGATGAATCATCTGCGGCTGAAAGACATGCCTTGAACAAAATAATCATGCCCTTTCATGGCCCTTCGTCATTAGATTAATGGGAAAAAAAAGTAGGAAACATCGATGCCGTGCTGTTGTTCTCCGTGCTCCGAGACAAGAGGGAAACTCTAAGCTCCTTGACGCGCCTTCTCCGCACAGATGAGAGCAATGATACGACTCAGTTCTGCGCTCTGGGCGGCTGATTCTCTAACAATCTTCTCGTCAACGCCCTCTTGTTTTGACAAGTCTGCTGTGCTCTTGAGCATGCGGTTCTGGAGTGCAAGCATCTTCTGAAGTGTGTTGTCGAGGAAAGGTGCGCTGAAGCTGACATCGTTTCCGGTGTCGAGGCGCATTTCGAGCTTGCGAGGGCGCTTCTTCTCGGCCGGCTCCTCGTTGAAGACTTGTCCGTTTTGTTGCGGCTTGGGTCTGNNTGACTATGGTTAGCGATACGCATTTCATTCTGGCTATGTCGTGTGAACACACCTCTCGACGAATGTGATGCTCTCGGCCATCTCGGCGACACGATTTGCGATTCGGTTGGCCATGATAGCGTATGCTGAACCGACTCCGTTTACAGGTGTATCTCCTTGAGAGGAAACACTGTTTGCTCTGGCTGCCGGACGGACTGCGCCTGCTCTACCAGCGGCTGTACCGTTTGTTCGAGCTGCTCCGTTCGCACGAGGGGCACCGTTCGTTCTGGCTACGCCGTTGATTCGCGCTTGGTTGGTATGAGGACGAGCTGCTGAAGGAGCGTTGGCCATATCGAGTCTTGATGTCTTTGTAAAGAAAGTTGTGTTTCCGGACAGGTGATAGTTCCGGAGAGATGTTCAAACAGTGGTAGGTATCCAGGTACAGAAGAGGTTTCCGAGTTTCGAGAAAAAATGTCAAGTAAAAGCTCCGCGGTGGTTCTTGTGGTATTTACGTGGGATTTGAAGAGAAGAAGGGTGCGATCTCGAGACCTAAAGGGCACTTAGGCAAGGCAGGGTGGCTGGACTCGGTTCGAAAAAGCGGCTCACGAACCACACGTCATTTTACTTTTTCCTGCGGGGCGCGAATCAGGTTGGTCGTGGCTGAACCGCAGCTCGAACCTCGATCGGGCTCCAGCACCGTGCCACATTGCCTCATCGCACGTCGCTTGCTGACGCGAGTCGATGAAAGAACTGCTCGAAAAGCAGGAATGTTGCACTGCCGGGGACAGGGTCTGAAGGTCTCGAAGTCGCTCGCTTCGTGTTCGATCAGATGAATAGCTGATCTGTGGCTGTTCGATGTTTCCTCACTTCTTGTGATTTTATCAAAGTCAAAATGTCGAGGCCGCAAGTCGAGGCAGTTTCGAAAGCCTTTGGTGATACTCTGTTAGGAGCAGGGTTCGATATCCTCAAGTCAAAAGCTGGAGACCAACACCCAGCAGGGCCACCTCAACATGGTGCCATGGGACAGGCCGAAAGAGCTTTCTCTGCGGCATCGACCTTCCCTCTCGGGGGGTATTGGCGTAAGTAGGATGGTAAAAGTGTTTTTGAGAGCAAGTATCTGATAAGCATATTGCATCTCAGCATAAGCGCTTCGCAATTCATAGGCGCTCCGCTGAAGCTCATTGATCCTAAATTCTACGATGGATACATGGCATGGACCAAAGAGTCTTTTGCTGTCCTTACTGCGACCATGACCCAATGGTGGGCGCCTACTGCTGTCAGAGTTACCGGAGACGAAAGTATGAAGGATCAGCTATATCAAATGGAGGACGGAAGTCTTCGATGCAATTTCCCTCATCGTCTTGTCATGATGGCCAACCATCAGGTATGTTGCTGGATGTGATCCCGAATGCACTAGCGACAATACTGATAGTACCAGCTGTATACTGACTGGCTGTATCTCTGGTGGATCGCATATACCAACAAGATGCATGGCCGCATCTATATCATCTTGAAGGAGTCTCTAAAGAATGTCCCCATCTTTGGCTGGGGTGCACAATTCTACAATTTTATCTTCTTGTCGCGAAAGTGGGAGACTGACAAGAGTCGATTCCAACGGCACCTCAGTCAACTCAGCAATCCCAAAGATCCCATGTGGCTACTAATCTTCCCGGAAGGCACAAACTTGAGCGAGACCACTCGTGCGAAGAGCAAAGCCTGGGCGGACAAGCAGGGTATCAACGACATGAAGCATCAACTACTGCCTCGCAAGACTGGACTTCAGTTTTGTTTGCAGCGACTAAAGGAGTCAACGAATTGGTTATACGACTGCACAATTGCATACGAGGGTGTCCCGTATGTTCCTAGACAATTGACTTGATCGAATTCAGCTGACACAGGACAGGNNGAAGGTCAGTTTGGACAGGACATCTTCACGCTGCGTTCTTCGTTCTTTGAAGGACGTCCACCGAAGTCCGTCAACATGTACTGGAGAAGATTCAAGATAAGCGACATCCCAATCGACAACGACGAAGCTTTCGAGAGATGGCTTAAGAATCGCTGGACCGAAAAAGATTACCTCTTGGAGCACTTCTATCGCCATGGCTCTTTCCCTGCTGGATGCCCGATCAAAGCCATGCAAGCCGAAGCTGCACTGCAAAAGCTTGCAAATGGTAATGGTCACGGGGAAAAGAAAGTCATCAAGCCAGTTAACAAGACTGCCAAGTTCATCACTACCGAAGTCAAGGCAGGTGGATGGGAGGAGTTCCTCGCTATCTTTGCCCCCATCACTGCCGCTGCAACAGCACTCTCGAGTGGGGACATAGCGCCTGGGAATATCGACTTTGACGCATTACTAAACAAAGTCGCCCAGCAACAGCAATTGAACCTGCTCATGACAGGGAAAGCCCCAAAGGCACCACAATCGACCGAGGACATGCGACAAGCTCTGACGTATGCTGCGAAATCAGCAGGTGGTCAACCGATCAAAGGATCTACCGTAGAGAAGATCACAAGAGATGCCGCTCGGACCCAAAGAGAGATTGAAGACTCTATGAGAAAGCATCCTCTACCAGAGCCAAGCGAGAAGCCAACAGCTGGACGAAACCTCGACCCTAAGCTGAAAAACACGATTGATGGCGTACATGAAGAGACACGGAAGCGACTTATGCGAGCCACGCAGACAGCGTCTCCAAAACCAGCACCAAGCGTCCGCAAGTCGTTACCAATGACACCTACAGAAACTGCCATCACACGACCTCTGTCGACATTAGCGATGGCAAAAGCCAAACAAGGTGTACAGAAGATTGCCGAAAATAAGCAGAAGCAACGAACAACGCCTGGTGCGAGCAAGGCAGGAACATCGGCTTCATCAGCAGCGACAAAGCAACCAGCTCAAGCATCAAGTGCTAGCAAGAAGTCGGGTGTATCCAATGTGACTGCAGCCAGTAGCAAGACTGCCAGTTCGAAAGCTCCTCAGAAGGCAGCATCCAAATCAGCGCCTGTCAAGAAGGCCACAGCATCATGAGAAGTGCAGAATAGAGGCTGGAGAGTTGACTGCCTACAACATCCGCATTCAATAGCTTGATATATAATAGGATGCAACATGCATTCCCTATGTGCTCACAGTCGATGTTCCAAACCATGAATAAATCAAAACCCCACGATCTCAGCACCAGAGACGATCTGTGAGATGATGCTGTCTCCGAGGGTCCACAATCAGAGGCGGCACAGGTGAAGTACCACGTACCTGACCTGGTTTTGGGAGCTGACGTAGGATCAAGCAAATGGCAGCGGGCATGAGCACGGACCGAACGACAGTTTCCTTTTGGAGAGAGCGTTAGCACAGTTGGGTTATCGAGTGGGTTATCGAAGTCGCGATTGTTGGCAGCATTAGGCGGGATCGACGTTGTTAGCGGGATCGTATATGCGAGACTCATGAGCGGGATTCGCCTTTAAACACCAATACATAGGCGCAGACTACCTACACAAGCTTGATCAGAGTCGTCGAGCTGATGCTGTCGAGTGTTGGTTGAGCAGAGAGCAAAAAAGGAGCAAGCACAAAGCCAAAAGGCAGCGGTTCCTGGGCCGACGAGCAAAACGACGTGTTGTTGACACTCGCGGTGTGGGGGAAAAGCGTGAAGTCTCGAACGGCTCCTGCAGCTTAACGTCAGTCAGGAGCAGGGGAGGCACGCACACGCGAAGCCAATCCCACGTCTTTCTCTTCTTCGACACATCTGCAGGGCCCAACGACCATCCACCGACCATATTCTTACCCAGCCCACGACCAGCCCCCTGAGCCCGTAGCCCATAGCCCACCATGAGCGTCAGGGTCGTCGCGCGCATCCGACCCTTGCTCAAGCAGGAGCTGGAAAAGGACACCATCGTCGAGGCCGCGACAACAGTCTCGGAGCCACAGGCCACTCCCTCGATCGTGCGCATCCCGAACCCCAAGAACGAGGCCGAGGCTTTCAGCTTCCAGTTCAACAGCGTCTACGACCAGCTGGCCACACAACAACAAGTCTTTGACAATGAGATTGCTCCCACCGTCAAACACCTCTTCAAAGGCTTCGACGTCACCATCTTTGCATATGGAGTCACAGGAACAGGAAAGACCCACACCATGCGCGGTGGTAAATTACTGGCCGAAAGAGGTGTCATCCCGCGCTTGCTCAGCAGCATCTATCGCAGAAGTCGCAAGATTGAAAAGGACTCTGAAGGCGACACCAACATCGACGTCGCCATGAGCTACTACGAAATCTACAACGACCGCGTCTTTGATCTGTTCGAAGCTCCTGAGAAGCGCACCGCTGCTGGCCTGCCCATCCGCGACAACAATGGCAAGACGGTAGTCGTTGGCTTGACCGAAAGACCTTGCACTTCCTTGAAAGACTTTGAGTCTCTCTACGACCAGGCCAACGTCAACCGCTCTACCTCTGCCACAAAGGTACGTCGCCCCTCCGCCCTAGCAGACGCCCAACACCACTAACCACCTGTTTAGCTAAACGCACACTCCTCGCGCTCTCACGCAGTTCTCTGCGTCAAGGTAACTCAAGTGACTGGTAACGAAGTCCGCGTAAGCACTGCAAGCGCCATCGATCTGGCTGGCTCCGAGGACAACCGCCGCACCGACAACGGTAAGGAGAGAATGGTCGAATCTGCAAGCATCAACAAGTCTCTGTTCGTTCTCGCCCAATGTGTCGAAGCTATTAGCAAGAAGCAAAGTCGCATCCCGTACCGCGAATCCAAGATGACGCGAATCCTCTCTCTTGGTCAGAACAATGGCCTGACAGTCATGATTCTGAACTTGGCTCCTGTCAGAAGTTATCATCTCGATACTCTTAGCTCTCTGAACTTTGCCAACCGCACAAAGAAGATCGAAGTCAACGAGGTCGAAAACAGACCTTTCTTCCGCACCGCACCAAAGCCCGAACCTAAGTCTGGCATACCCTCAATTCCTCTGGCTAACCGTCAACCTTTGCGACCCAAAGCATTGTCACATAACGTTGTTCCTAGCAAGGAGCAAGCTGAAAAGGACAAGATCGAGAAGCCGGTAAAGGCATTCTCTGTTTATTCTGATAAGCCCAAGACATCAACAATAGCACGACCTGGTCACCTCTCCGGACAAGGCCACCCTCGTATCGCTGAGGCACAAAAGCGCACTAGCAGTGAAGCCGTACCTACCATCAACCGACCATCCAAGGTGCTAAAATCTACCGTAGCAGCCAGACCAGAGGCCATGTCTCAGAAGTCAATCGAAGAGCTTATCGAAAGGAAAGTGGCCGAAAAGCTAGCCGAGCAGGCTCTCAGCACAAAGCTACCAGCAGGCACCGAGATTTCTCCCGACGTACAAGCACGATTAATCGCTTTGGAGCGCAGAGTCATCGACCAAGAATCAGCACGCGCAGAGGGTCTGCAATATCTGCTCATGGCCAAACAGCACACCGTCCGCGGCGAAGAAGTCAGCGCCCTCAAAATGTACCAACTCGCACTCCCCTACTTCCCCGACAACCAAAAGCTAGCGCAGAAAATGCTCAAGCTGCAAGAAAAGATCAACCGCAAAGAAGAAGAGCGAAGACCCAAATCCAGCGGCGGCGTGCCCCTGATGACCGAAGACGGCGACGACGATTATCAACCCGAAGCCCACGACCAAGACGACGAATCAGTCTTTGACAACCGCACCACAAAGTCACGTAGCAGCCGACCACCAATCCGCCGCAACCTCAGCGTTTTCCGCGACGAAGCAGCCTCAGCACCTCAACCCTCATGCCGAACCACAGACTCGGACTCAGAAGACGAGTTGGCACACTCACTCATCAACACCGGTCCCGACCAAACACCCCGCTCCAAGCACATTCTGCGCATCATCAACAGCCGCGACGTCGCGCAGATCCGTCTGCTCAAAGGCGTAGGCGCCAAAAAGGCAGAAATGATTGTCAATGCGCTGTGTGAAATGGACGACGAAGTTAGACATGTAGGCGAACTGGGCAGATTGAAGGGCGTGGGCATCAAAGGTGTTGAACGCATGCGTGAGGGTTTGGCTGGTGTTATGGCTTGAAGAAACCAAGACACATTGAGCGATTTGTGCATCTTCTCTTCTTACTGACAGGGGTTTTCTGTTTTGGGGGGTCATTATTTTTTTTTTTTGGAGAAGAAAAGCATGGCGTTTGGGGGGGTTTATTAGCATGTTTTTCGTGGCATTTTTCTGGCGTTTGTTGTTTTGCATGGAAGAGGTTTTCTTGTCAATCATATTCGAATCAGGACAGCAAAGAAAGAAGGATTAAGAGTCGTAGCATTGAAAGGGGGGAGGGGGGAAGATGAACACAAAATCATCATCATCATCGTCATTGGGTAAATTAGATGGAATTATCATTAGAATCCATGAAGCCAAGCAAGTCAAGCATTCATAATCAGATTCTCGATTGATACCTAGTTGGATCATGAAGAAACAGGGCACTTGAGGAGCTACTCGGGGAAGGAGCCACTGGAGGAGGGAGCCACGCTGCGACTGTTGCTATAATCTTCACAACTGGAGAACAGAGCTGATCAAGATAAGCAGCACCATTGCTCCTTCCATTCGAGCGATGCTCAATGAAAAAGGTACATTGCACCATGCATCACAAGTCACAACTCGAACAAACCAGGCGAGCAAAGGTTCGGGGTAGGGAAAAGATTCGATATTAACACCACAAGTAAGCAAGGGCGGAAAGAGTAAAAGCTAGATAAAAAGAATTCGTAGGTCGTGGATGGATGGTGGGAAAAAACGGCAAAAAAAAAAAGAAGACAAGTGGGGTATCAGGGTATCGAAATAATAACTTGACTGAGACCGCACCAAAAAGACGGAGAAAATAAAAAGGAACAGGCTTTGTGTGCTTGCGGTAAAAGAGAAATAAATGACTGAAAAGGGGGGGAGGGGTATTTGGGGAATTGGGCATAGCAAGGACACGCTCGAACGTAATAAACAACAAAAGAAATCAGAAACAACAGACGCTCAAAATGATATTGGCAGACGCGAGAAGAAAGAGGAATCGTAACATGTCGTTCGCGGGTCGTGGTCGTTTCTCGGGAAGTTTCATCAAATTATGAAACATTAGTTGTAGGTGTAAGTGGGCGTAGAGGGGAATTTGGCGTTCAATATTGTTTGTCGTGGGATGGCCGATCAAAATCAGCCGCGATGTTCGACGGCTCGGTTCTCGCTGGTGGCGACAGCAACGAGGGCTTCGAGTCTACCCATGTCGGGGTTGGCTCTCTGGTTGATGGGTGCAGGACGCCACTCGGGAGACTGCACCTGCATGTTGTGACCGGCTTGCATCATGTACACAGTGGGTGCTTGACCGGCCATGTGCACATAGCTATGGAAGCCAGAGTCTGCTCTTGTAGGCTCAGGCTTGCCCTGGTAATGGGCCTGGAGAGCTCTTTGCTCATCGGTCAAGATAGCGTCTGGGGGCTGCAGCTCGACCATGCCATTGGCGTGCATAATGGCTGGATGCAGTTCTCTGCCTTGAGAAGTCGAAGGTGTGGGTATGCCTTCGCTGCTGCTAGACTCGGGTGAAGTACGGTGCGCGATCATAATCGGCTGACTTCCCTGAGGAGGACCCATTGGCCCACCGTACCAGGCTTGGCGTTTGTTTGCACGATCATCGGCGACTGGGCGTATATCAGCAGGTGGCTGCAGCTGAGGCAGTGCATAGCCAGGAACAGATTGCTGAGACAGTTCGGCAAGAGGTGCTGCAGGTAGTCGCTGGCTTGGGAGTATGCGAGACTGATCAACTGGAGGATGAGCAATCTCCAATTTATTAAGACCTTGATGGAGATTGTGCTCCCAGCCTATACTTCTTCGGTCTCCGGGAGCAGAGGTCGATAGCTCGATCGGTCCTGAGAGTATCGATGAACGACGACCAGAGTCGATCTGCATGGGGCTAGTGATGTTGCGTGCAGGAACAGCAGGAGGTGGAGGGGCATGGTCGAAGCTTTCGATGCCAGGAAGTCTGGTAATCTGACTTGCTGCTGGCTGGGAGGCAAGAGCAGGAGCAACGTCATCAGGAGTCTGGTTATAAGCCAACCCGCTGGTTGCAGGACGACTGGCATAGTTTGCATGAGTGCCGGGATGCCACGTTCTTCTTCTCCACTCAAGCTCAGCGTCAGACTCACGACGGTGGTGTGAGAAGGTAGAGGCGGTGGGACTGGCGACCATGCTGTTCGTGTTCGAATACTGAGGAGCTGGACCGGAAGGGAGAGGGGCAAAGTAGACGGGCTGGTAGCTGGCCGCTTGTGGCGAATAGGGACTGACACCAGATGGGACAGACAGACGGCGGGAGGGTGTTCTAGTGCCGTTGTAGAAGGATGACCTGGCGATCGGAAGAGATGGCGACTGCATACTAGCTTGGAACCTAGGGCTACCCTCACCAGTAGAGAAGTTGGACGATGTGGGNGAGCTGTAGCCGCCGGGCGACTGTTGGTAGTAACCGAACTGAGGACCATTGTTGGGGATGGCTGGGTTGAACGTGTCTAGACTCAGTCTCGCTCTGGCCACAGGATCCTGGTTCAGCATCAGAGGAGAGGGGCGCGGACGACTCTCTCCGATGTCCGACATGGCTAGGCTCGAGGTAGTCGAGAGGACGCTTGAAGCTGACAGGTTCCTGCTGTGCCCTCTACTATACGCACTTTGTCCGCCGCTTCCAGCAGTCGATGCTCTAGGTCTCACGTTCGGTGGGCGTACACGGTCTGTTCGGATCTGTCTCTGGAACCTGGTCCCGGTCGCTGCCAGGGAGTCGCCAGGGATCTCTTCGTTGACATGTACTGTCTGGGCATGTTGGCGCAGGTTGTCGAGTCGGGAGAACCGGCGGGAGCAGTGACATTCGAAAGGTCGTTCACCCGTATGTTTTCTGNNGCAACATGTCAGTATGAGACGGTATGTCAGACTTGAGCTATATGCTTACCGGATGTGCCGGGCCAGATGCTCGCTGCGAGTAAAGCTGAGGTTGCATGGTGGAAAGTCGGTGCAGTAGAATCTCTGGCCCTTCTTCTTCTTCCTGGACGGCTTTCCGTCTTCGTCGCTTTCGTTGTCTGAGCCTGCTTGGTCCTGGCCATCGTCATCGCCATCGTCCATGTCTATGTCTTGCGAATCGCTAGACTGGTGCGAGTGTACCGAGCGACGTGAGTTTTCGCGAGATACCCCAACGCCGTCACCATATTGTTGAGTAGGGTTCGAGCTGCCGGCAGGAAACTTGAAAGTCCCTCTGGTGGGGGTAGTCAGAGTCGAATCTTCGGCGGGGATCTCTTCAGCGGGCTGATCGGAGAAGCGCGCACTGAGTCGCGGCGTCGTGGGTTGGTAGTCGTCGGTCGTACTACCGCTTCTTTTTCTGCTGCTGGGTGCGAGCATCGGTCTCGTGCTATTCCGAGAGTTCGACATGGCTGGCGAGATGGTCGGGGAGCGATGACCGAGTATCAAGAAGTCGGATGTGTTGAGGTGGAATCGATTTCTAACCGGCTTATTCAGATCAGTCGATTCGTCATGGCAAGACCTTGCAAATAATTCGTTGGTAATGGTGCACAAGAGCGGCCCCAGTATTGCCGAGTTATAAGCATACAAAAGGCGTACCGGTCAGGTTAGAGCATGTCATGAAGCTGAGAGGGTTATCGAAACATGGGGGTCGGCAGGACTACTCGAGGGTGAATCGATATGACATGAGAGATGTAAACGCCGTCGTGGTGGAGGAGACGTAAGAGACGACGAGGACTCGTCTGACGAGCGGCAAAAGGATGGCAAGGGTGATAAGCAAGCAGTAGGTGCAGCAGGTGCAGCAGGTGCAGCAGTAGTGATGAATAGAGCGGCGAGATGCAGCCAACCCGCCACGCGCAACGTTGGAGATCCTGCGAAAGGCTGCTGCGTCAGAATCAGAGTTGGCTATCCAAGGTACGAATAGCGCAACTCGGTAATCCAACGGCCAGACAATCTGCTGTTTCCGGGGCTCGATCAGAACTAGAGTTACGATGACCAAGACAGGGCGCAGGAACAAGCGTCCGAGAAGGGCCGCGACAGACTCGAAAAGAGTGCAGGAGCGCCCACTGCGGGACGAGAGAGCATCCACAAGGCAAAGCAGATGATGATGACTTCCCTCGCATATCCGAGCACGGACAGAGGCCACCATTAACTTTGTCTACCGCGCCGGATCGGCAGAGAACATGTCGAGTGGGCGCTTGCTCGTGCAGAAAGTCTGGAGCGAAACGTTTCCAACCTGACAGGCAGGCAGCCAACCATCGGAATTTGTCTCCTACTCACTACCTAGCCATCTCTGCACCATGTGCGTACCCGTCGACGCCCTGGCTACCACCCACCATACGCAGTCTGGGAGCTTCAGTGCGCAGGCCAGGGCCGGGAGCCCGCGAAGAGACGTGAAAAAGGTACCCCTCGACACTAATCAAGAGGTGGGGTGTGCGCAGCATGCAATGTACAAGAGGTACATGATGGTGCATATTCAGGTGCAAACCAACCAGTCCACGGCAAACGCAAGACGATGCTCTCCATGTACAGTACCCATCTACCCCTCTACTCTTGTCCTTGTCTGCAAGACAGCAGCGCCTGAACACGCGCGCCCTCCGCCGGCCAGCCCGTGTTATGCTGGGGCCCCCATCGTATACAAGACTCGTGGGTCACGCACACCATACACACCCACTCACATCATACATGCCTCGATGGAATCCGGACGAGGCGATTTACCCTTCCACACGATATACGGTGTGCTGAGGAGTTGACCACTCAGCGAGCGAACAAACCCGGCCAAGGCACCGCTACCCGGCCACCGCCAAGCCACAAAGACGGTGAAGGTCGTTGGAGGTGAGTAGGTAGAGAAAACGAGGAACAACAGTAAGAGAGAACGGGATGGAACGGGTCGTTAGCATGACAATGTGATCAAGAGATGGCTCTCGATACCACGGTGCCCTCGGAGTGGGGACTTGCTTTTCCTCGTCCGTGTTTCATCTGTGCCTTGCTCTCACCATGGCATTCATGCTTCTTTCTCGTCAGAAGTGTCAGATTGTGTCTCGCCGCGTCTCTTC